CTTGTCTTGTGCAAACCAAGCTTATTTTGCTCGGTTACTACTGTTTTGAACCCTGGTGAGAGTTTCAACCAGGGTTGACGATTTCAAGAGATTTCAAGTGTGAAATGCCACATTTTTTCAACCCTTTGTCAACCCCGCGTCAACCCCGATATTTGTCCAGTGTGAAAAGGGTATTTGTGAAACACATCAGGAAACAGTTATATTATTTTGTCACGTACCCTTGGGCCCAGTATTTGCAGAATGGCATCAAATTCCTCATCAGTTAAATCCAACAGGTGGGAGCCTGAAATACTAGAGTTGATTCGTGAGGCGATACGCCGGGATGAACAGGCCATCTGTAGCGGAGAAAAAATTGCATCAAAATGGGTCATGGAATACTTGTCAATCTTGTCCAAAAAGCTGAGAACCTCACAAATGTATAGAGTCCAACACTTTTTTTCACTTGGGGTTCATTCTTGTAGTGCAAAAAGTTGAAGAAAACCATTAAAAAAACTTAGTTATTCAACTTGGCTGGCAAAATACTCAGGGCCTCCTCTTTGAATGCTACAAATTTTGGAATCAAAATGAGTAAAGTTGACATAGTTTTGCATGATACGGTACGTCATTACTTACATACATGTAATACTAGCTAATAATTGGCATGTCCTGTGGGAAGCAATGGTGATAGAGTCATTCCCAATAAGCTGTTTCATGGTAATATGCGCCAACTTGTTCGCGGGGCAAAAAGAACATGCGTTGCTACATGTATACGCGGGCGCATTTTGTAATGAACGCATGATGACTTGGAAGCAACAAAGTTTTCCAATGACGATGCATGCACAGCAACGCATGTAAACTTGCCCCTTGGGCAAGATGGCACATATTAGGCGCCCCCAAAAAATATTCGGTCTCTTGTCGGACCAAAGTTCCGCGGGGACGCGGGGACGCTTTTTTTTTTTTTTTTTTTTCTTCAATCTTGGATTGTACAGACAAGGTGGGGTACTATTTTGCTTTTTTGGTGTCCTCATGAACATTGGTGTCCTCCATAATTTGCCTTGGTGCTCTCGATCATTTGCCTTGGTGCAATTTCCCATTCCTTGGTGCTCTTTGGTAAAAAAAAATTGAGGAGGTGCGGCAATAGAGGGCGCTGTTGGAGCTACCGCAGAACATTTTGGGAAAAAAAAGAAGATTGACGCGCATGATTAAAATCGACGCGCGCGCTGATTCCATTGTTGAATGGAAACATAACAATGGACACTATGGCAAAGACTAATGGTCCAGTTTGATCTGTTGCGTATGTATGGTGGATGTGCACGCGAGCAGCATGCAAAAAAAGGCGAATTTGACATCGTCAATCGTCATACCTCACAAACATTGATGAAGAAAGAAAATTTAGCGTTGTGCATATGCGAACAACTTGAATTCTCTGTTATTTTGAACAATCATCAACCTTAAATATATTTTCAAATGAAAATTGAAATAAGTTTGATTACTTTTGCTGGTCAGTTTCGATAGCTTTCGTGTCGTAAATGAAAATTATTCAGTCAGTGACCAACAGAGGATGTTTGCAATCATGCGCGTGGTTACTCCTAGAACTATGATGCTCCGAGTGAGCGGAGCCTCATAGACACAGAACTCCGCAAAATTGTTTGCAGCACAAAACACCAATTAAGTACAAAAACGTCCATCAAAACAGAGACATTTCCCACAGAACCGCTGCACAGATTGCCCCTAAACTTCTAACAATACCTCATGACATACTCACGTTATGTGCACCCAACAAACATCGGTGGATTCTGTCTGTTTTCGGCAAAAATGATGAAAAATATGCCCTTTCCGCACTGAGCCAACCTAACACTTGAAACGAGCACGCGCGCAGAATGATCGCAGTCATTTTCTGTTCGATCGCTCGGAGCGCGCCGCGGGGGGTACGTACTTGCACTTGTACGCATGCGCATACTATCGTTCCGCTCTACACCATACCCCCCGCGGCGCGCTCCGCGCTCGGAGCATCATAGTTCTAGGAGTAGCGCGTGGTATCTTTTTTTTCCCGCAAAACTCTCCTATTGTTGTTACTGCAATTTGCATTGGTCTATAAGAATGTGTTCCGGTCCAGTAAATTTTAAGAAGTACTGGCCCTGTGGTCCAGTCCAGTGGATTTTTATGAAATTTGAATGATGCGTGGATCAGAAGACATAGGCCTACCAAACAATACCATAATTTACACAAAAGTGAACCAAATAAAAAAGGATAATTTACAAAAAAAACAACAAGTAAAACAAAAATCCTGTAGTTAACCTAGGTATGCTAGGCCCTACTTAGTTCTAGAACTAGAACTTAGAAGGCGCATGGCCGCGTGCCTTTGTTCTAGTTCTATGAGACTACGACAGTACGAGCCTTCACTTCAGTCATTTCAGAAAACGCAGTGGCTATTGTTACGGCAGCCGTAACGCATTTCCCATTTTCTATCGTTACGGTAGACTGCAACTTTTATAAAAACATGACAAGAAAATATAAAATTAGAAGGAAAAAAGTGAATTTGAACGTTATGAAATTCGGACTTTATTTCCCTTTTTAAAAAAATCCTTCAAAGCCTCAGGTTAGAAAAAGAAAAAAAATCGAGTGCAAAACTGAGATTCGAACCCGCAACCTCGCGGTGCAAAATCCTACCCTCTATCGCCTGAGCTGTCGCACTGCTCGCTAAAATGTGTGGAATCAAATAATTATATACCTGCGTGCATATCCAAAAAGTATCGTAGAGGGCGCTAAACAACGACTGCCGTAACGATAGCCAATTCGTTTTATGAAATTTGATGATGCGTGGATCAAAAGACATAGGCCTACCAAACAATACCATAATTTACACGAAAGTGAACCAAATAAAAAAGGATAATTTACACCAAAAAAAACAAGTAAAAAAAAAATCCTGTAGTTAACCTAGGCATGCTAGGCCTACTTAGTTCTAGAACTAGAACTTAGAAGGCGCATGGCCGCGTGCCTTTGTTCTAGTTCTACGAGACTACGACAGTACGAGCCTTCACTTCAGTCATTTCAGAAAAACTTTCTCCAAATTTTCCTCCACTTCAGGAACTTCTAGTTTAGCATGCAGGTCCACATAACTGATGATAGTGTGACGTGTGACACTGTCATGACTGTGTTTGGCTTAATTTTGGGGCTAGGAAAAAACTTTTTTGGCTAAAAAGTGTCACCGTAGGCTAGTTTGTTTTAGAATTGAACATCGACATAGGCCTACAGGAAGGGAACCGGTAATGTTCCCTCTATTCTCTTTCCTGAACTACAAATGATTCATGTCGTGCAACACTTTCCCATGATAATTGATATAGCGCCTGACTCACAACCTACCGACTGAGTAAGAAATCACAGCTTTTCAAACAACCCCCTCACTCGACTGGAGTTAAATTAGGGCCTACAAAAAAAACCTGGGTCACTTTGGTGCTGCCATAACTGCCAACTTTCATGACTTTACAAATAGGATCACGTTATACTTGGCCCAAATGAATTTCATTCTGCGAGTCCTTACGGCACCTAAAGCTTACCTTGAGCACACTGAGAAATCTTTAAAGCTCTGCTTGACAAATTAATGTAAGAATACTTCTGCGCAGTGGCCGGTAAACAGTGTATTTTCCTGCAGCGAGGAAAACCTGATGCTCCGAACAGCGGCCATTTTTCTGGGTCCTGAAAAGAAATCTGCCAAGAAAAGTTTTTTTCGGCACAAGAGGGCGCAGTTTTCAAAACTTTCCGATCCTTTTTTCAAGGTGGCCGCGCCGCGCGGCGCGGAGATTTACACAATTAGCGACTTGGAATATCACCGTTTTTTATATCCACCCTGCAAACATTACAAAAGAAGATCATTTGCGTCCTTTCTGGTTTAACGTTGTTGATTAACAACGAATGTATTGTGTTACGCAAGCGGTTTCTGAGATCGTGCAGTACTGCCCACTAGCTTGTTCACGATTTGTCTGAAAAATCCATAGTTCGGACTTCTCTTTCTAAAACTAAAAGAAAGAAGACTTCTTCTCATTAAATACTTTCTCAAAAAGTTTGAAAAGAGCATCCCAGACAACCTACCACCCAGTCACTTTCTGTCCTTTTTAATTATTCTTTCCAGCTTGTTATTATCTTTTTTTAAAATTCATTTAGGGTTAAAATCTATTTGGGTTATGTATACGCGTGGCGCAGAAGCCTTAAAGGGGGATTAACAGTACTGGGTTAGGCATGCCTTATTTTGTATGTGTCAAGTGATTAAAATATCTTTTGTGGACCGTTAGATCATCTTTTTCAAAGAGGTGTTTAAATTTGATGATTTGATAATCCCTGAAAATGTCAAATTATATAGAGATGTCAGAATGGGAGATGTAAACGAAGTTAAAGGTGAAATTTGTACCCGTTATGGGCCTCAGAAAATTTCCCATGTGGTGTCACACACAAATGTCATCAGCAGGTAGTTCAGATTCATATTTCATACACTCAACCAAAAAAAGAAAGTCCCCTCCCCCTACCAATTCTTCTTGTCTAACTCACAAACTACTGAGCATCTCTCGCTCAAATAACGACTAATCAGAACAGAAATTCCAGCCATACTCTTTATTTGGTCCGAAACAGTGATGTGTATGGAATTATATGCAATTTATGACCAATACCGAAAACAGTTGCATTTTTGTATACATACAAGTTGTGGTTCACACTCACCCTGTGAATATACAAAAGTGCAACTTTTTTTGGTAGCATTTGTCACAAACTGCATAATTTTGCACACGTTATCACTGTTTTTGGGCCAAACAAAGAGTATGGCTGGATTGCTAAGGAATTTCTGTACTGATAAGTCATAATTTGAGCAAGCTATGCGCAGTAGTTTTTAAGTTAGGCAAAAAAGTATGGGGGGGACTTTCTTTTTTGGTCTCATCTGGCATGAGGTACCAAACCGTTAACTTTCTTGTGATCCAAGCTACAAATACTACAACAGCCCCCCCCCCCAAAAAAAAAATGACAAGAGTTCTCGGTTTATCTTTCCTACAAACACAGTTTCTTCCTTTAATCATCTAAACAATTACACTATAAAAACAAATCAACAACTACTTCGCATTAAATACTGAATAAAAAGCCTTGCACCCATTTTACTCAAGGCTTTACCTCATCTAATATATTTTCGACATTTTTTAAACTTAAAACAGACCTCCCAAATAATCATCTTGACCTTTTGAAGCGAATCAAGGTGCCACCCTTTTTTTTCTCAAAATAATTCGGTAAAATTCTGTTCTTCAGCAAAATCGCCTGTACAATAAATAGATACAATTTGGTCATACGACTCAACCGTTTTGCCAAATTAAACTTGGACTTTACATGTGCACACATTGACCGCTAGCAATTCGACAGGAGGTAGCGTACAGATTCACACAGAGGTCAAAACATTTTGCTTGAAAACCGGACATAAAATATTACAAATCTAACTTGATGGGCTGTTTTTGCCAGGTCAAGTTTATATGCACTGCACATTGGTGTTGGTGATCTGATGCCATTACACACATACAAGAAATACATTCTAACAGCTTCTGCAATCCCATCAAAATTCCAGAAAGTTGAAAAAAAAAAGTTACCAAAATGTCATTGAAAGAGCTGGTTTTTGGTTAATGCGGAAAAGTATGTTACTTCTTGAAGTGAAAAATACTGAGGGGAAGGGATGAGGTTTAGCTCTAGTATCTAGCCCCTTCTTTTGTGATGCTGTAAACCTGAGTTATATGCTAGAAATAAAAAAGGGGGGGGGGGGTGTTTCATCGGAATAAAGGGGGGGGGGGGTGATTTTCCTATAAAAAATTTGGCACGGCATTTCGTTGTTGAACTTTGCAAAGTGTAATTAAGAACGTGCTATTTTGACATTAAAAATTCAAAGAAACAGTTCAGTCTTAAAACAGAGCAAGTACATCCTTTTAGATGTGGAACTTTCAGATGTGCCACTAGGCTATCAGCTTCTGACCACCGGTATCACATGACCGAAAAGAGCAATGTTCATAGCGATTTTTTTTGCAAGGTACATGTATACACATCATGGCCGACATGATGTCCATCTTCCAGTCACCAGTATTTTCCTTACTGCGTCACCAAAAATGAAACACAGGGATTAAATTTCACACATGGTTCAACTTGTATGGCACTGATTTTCATTAAGCTATCACCTAAACATCATTCATCCATGTTCAGTATATGGAGCTGGCTATCCAAGAAAAAAGAAAAGAAAAATGTGACTTCTTCCATTATTAAAAAACGGATAATCTCCGATTCAATGCCTGAGGGTAATTTTCAGTGAGTGGGGGAAGGGTTAGTTGGGGGTGGGGGAGATAAAGTTGACGATGGCGGAAACATTTTTAAAGTCAACCCACCTCAGCGTTACCAAAACTCAGTGAATTCAGTTATTTGCCAGTCAATCTTCATTCTAAGGTACACACTCCAGCGACCACATGGGCCTTCTAACTCAAGGGATTTAACAATTTTCGGTAACTTGCCGTCAAAAGGACAATGCCCTTGATACATCAAACAGCTCTTAACAAAAGTACTATGCATACAATTTACATGGCAGAATCAAGAATGAATTTCAGACATTTACATTTCACGAGAGCAGTGCGCTTTGCGTACCATGGACTTTGAGCACAACTACTTATCTCACTATGGCAAAATAATTCTTATTTACTGATTAAAATATGTCTATGACTTCACATAAAAGCACCCTTTTTAGGCAGAATTACAATAATCTGTCTAGCATTACATTTTCCTTCCCCGTTTTGGTTACAAATGCCGTTCTAATTATTTACAGATAAATTACAGTGGAAGTATGGTACACAAGGCCCTAAGCTTTGTTACACAAAACAGATTCTCCTTAACTGAACGGTCACACTTTGCGTTCTATTCGAGCACAATTCACATAAATTCAACAAGGAGAAAACAAATTTAGTGAGCTCAATTAGTCAACAACGTCAAAACACATGTTTCCACAACTCTTGGTTTTTTTTCTTCAAAATAAAATGCATAAAACTTATGCCTCACAAACAACCTGTAACATGACTGGGAAATTTGAAATCACCATTGACACTGAGAAAGCAACATATACAGCTAACCCAGACGACAACAAATCGATAAATCTACAAAGATTTACATGTGATTTTTTTTATACAGACGTGAATACTGTGTGCTAAAAAGAAAACTAACTGATCCGTTTAAGCTTCACTGCACACAATGGGCAACAACACTTGTGCCTTTCCAATGCCTCACATCATATTCTGGCTGTAAGCGTCATGTTACGTCCATGAAAATTTGTTCAACTTTTGTTGGATATTTGTAAATGTCATCAAGGCTGCGAATGGTCAAAACATCATTGGTTTTATAGATGTCTATTTTGACAGTTAAGCCGCCCTCAAGTTGACTTTGTGACGACACAGAACAGTGGGCGACTGACTTTTCAGGATCAAGAGACGCCTGCGATACGACTGTCCGGAACAAATTAGTAGCCAATTTTATTTTTGAACTGAGTGTAACGACGACGAACGGCATCAGTCGGCGCTAAAAAAAAGCATCAACGGTCACAAGAGTAGAACAATTATGACTGCTGCGACGTGTTCCCGATAGGCGGGAATCAATCGCAGTCGACCTGTGTGAAGTTACGGTGTCGTGTGCGCATCAAGATCTTATTTCATTGTGTAGCCAATCAGAGTGCGTCAAAAACAGCCAAATGAACAGATGTGACCATGGAAGGCCATTTGATTGTTACATGCTTTAACCACTATTGTTAGAGAGTCACATGATCGTCTATGGCGTGGAATCGTCGTGGGCGACATGAGCATGGTTGTGATTATTTTGTGTCGAGATGCTGCTTGTTCTCCATGGTCCAGTGGTTATGGTGTTTGACTCATGTACGAAGGTGCGTGGGTTCGAACCCTGCCAGGAACGTGGTGTTTGTGCCCTTGGGCAAGACACTTAACTACAATTGCCTCTCTCCACCCAGGAGGGTACCTGTGAGGGTCGAGGACCGATTGAGCGCTGATATCGGCTGCCGCGTGATCCCATGGCCTGATGAACGGGGTAATAATTGTAAAGTGCTTTGAGATTATTGAGTAACGATGGAAAGCGCTATATAAGCACAATTATTCCATGAGAATTACACGATTTCTCAAGTTTGTGACCCGAGCATTACTTTTCTGCTTGATGCCGACAGTTCCACTGCGGCACAAGCAAATCGCAGGCCGACCCGAGGGCACATTTACAGAGCGTTTGTCGTCTGCCAAAAAACAAAGAGTTTTTGCTGTATTAACACTGGAATTCCCTCAGGAAAACAAAAACAAGTCAATATTCAGCAAGTGGAAGGTTTTTGTAGGAGTTTACCAATTCCCATTTAACATCAGATTCTGTTGCACTATTCAACATTTTGCAATCGATTAGTGTCAAACAGCAACTTTGAAGTTTTCAGTCATATATCATCCTTCTTTTGTATTTACCTTATGGGTGTGCATTTATGAGTAGTACAGGAATCGGATTATCGATTGAAAAAAACCCACAGGAACCTGGGTACCCGTTAAAGAAACCAAACCCAAAATTTTAATCTCGGAAGTTGCTGTTCAGATTGTTTACAAAGGTCTGCAAGATAACACTACCACATCGTTGCGTCAATACAGCAAGATGCAAGTGGGTACATGGAGCTCAATTCACGTAGCTTTGCGGTGTCAATTGCATTTTCGTAAGTGTCCTAAACGTGAATCTATTGTTTTTCCGTGTAGCTTGGTTTTCATTTCCAAAATTCTCCACATAAATGACATTCCAAACCTTTCTTTTTCATTGTCTGAGAAGTTACTTAGTAATATGTAAAGTTGGTTACGGGTACTCAATTCCATAATCTGGAACCGGTTCCTGACATCAGCGGTCGGGTACTCGGGTACCCGATGCCGATGCACAGCCGGAACTATCGGAACTACCCTCGACTGGACTAGGGAAAGTTCCCCCTGGAAGGAAAATCCCAAATAACCTGTGAACCACGTTGAAATTCAACGGTGTGTAAAGTGAATCATGTTGATATGTGGTGAAGCAAAGCTGGTCCACAAATGAATCAGGGTTGACTAGAGACCAAGCAGGTGTTATGAAGTGTGGTTGGGATATTAAACAAGGCCGTTGTTTTAGCCATAAACACAGGCAGACTAAGGTTCCATGTAAATGCAACTGGCACCTTGGCGTGGCAGTGATCATAAGTATGAAGCAAACGCAGCTGCCTTTAGTTGCAAGGTAGTTTTGGGACCGTCCAAGTTACATGTACGTGTATATGCCCTGAGTGGAATTTTGTGAAGTGATTGACACAAATAGAGATGCACAAAGTGCAAGTACTTACTGTATCCAAACATTTAAACCTCGGTGCTTTATGGCACAATTTTGTACAGGATAACCTTATCAGCTCTGCATGGAATCACTTCTTTTTTAGGCAGCAACCTTTTTGAGATTCCGATCCTTGATGCATCTCCATTCTGAAATTGTGTCCTTTTTTTTTCGGGGAAAAAATAAATACAAATTTAAGTTCATTCCTGATCCATGGGCACTTCTGCCTGTACTGTGACAGTGGTCTCTTCTGACGAGTTTCCTGATTGGCTAATCTCCTCTGTTGAGGCCTCTGGCTGATTGGCCGGTTCCTCCACTGAGGGTTCTACTTTGTCTGATGGCTCTTTGACTTCTTCTGATTGGTCCGTTGTGTCTGTAGTGTCTGTGGCAGCCAATGAGGAGGCCTGTTCTTCTGGCGGTGGAGGGGTAATACTGGAATGACTTTGGTCTGGTTGGTCTGGTTGGGGGGCTGAGGTGGCTTCTGAGCTTGATTCATCTGCAGTTTGTGTTTCTTCCATGTCAGTAGAAGACTTTACTAGCTCAGGCTCTGTAACTGTTGTAAAGAAACAGAAACATACACACGTTCACTGCATGTGACTATAAAGGGCATATCTATGACTGAATTTTTCCACCATATGAGATATTCATTGTGGTAACCACTGCACTTTCACATCTGACTGCACAGCCAACCCTAGCAAGCTTGGTGGTTGAGTTGTGAAGACATTTGCATTGGTTAGCTGGAGGATATGGGTTCGAGTTCCACTAGAGAAATTTTTTGATTTTTTTCCCCAGAAAGTCTAAGGCAGTTAGAAGTATACAGTACATATACTTGTGTAAATCAATATTATCTGATTAACTTTTTTTTTCGACTGTACTTTTTTTGATTATCTTATAATATGCATCATATTTGTCTTAACAATGAAGGATGATCTCATTCAAATGTACTGTGAGTGTACCAATCAATGCTATACAGTAGGAATGCTGCTATAACGAACATCACGGAATCCACATAAATTGTTCGTAATAGCAATTGTTTGGTATATCAATTTTAAACTGCTGGTGTTCCGGTACTCACTTTTCAATAAATAGCGCCCTTCGATAAATAGCGCCCTGGTAGTTACTGAAAGACGACTTTGAACACGTGCCGACTACTGAATTATGTAATTCCACAGTTTTTGAGCTTACTACACGCAGTAATTGGTGGATTTCCCCTTCTATTCCGTGAGGCAATAACAGCCACTTGTCACTCTTCTGTTGACATTTTTTAACAACAATGTTTGGTATGTATTCTACACAAAAATTGGGAGCCAAGGACGATGTGTCGGTATAGCCGACAGTTCGGTAGAGCAGTGTTCGGTACAGCGACGTTCCACTGTACTATTAAGTGCAGAGAGTGAACGTGTGTATATTCATGAGTTGCTCGCGCAAAGCACTCAACTGCCTGCGAAGCGGGCAACTCGCCTGTGAAGCCGCCTCCCCCACAAAGTGGGTGAGGCCAAACCTCGTTCTATGCTCATACTATAAAGTGCAGAGGGTGAACGTGTGTATATTCATGAGTTGCTCGCGCAAAGCACTCAACTGCCTGCGAAGCGGGCGACTCGCCTGTGAAGCCGACTCCCCCACAAAGTGGGTGAGGCCAAGCCTCGTTCTATGCTCATGAAGACAATTGACACTGCACTTGAAAGCTCAAATTTACTCTATTGTGTCGGAGCAGTATTTTGAGACATACTCTCCCCTCCCCCCAAAATGAATCAAGCTAGAAAGATGGTCTTACACACACCTTTTGGGTCTGGCGATGGATCGGTTGCAGCATTGTTGTCCTTTGGAGGTGAGGTATCAAAGTATCCAGAGCGAGGGGGTAAGGCTGAATCTGGTGAGCTGTCGCCGCTGTCTGCACTGTCCATCGAGGAACAACTATCCTGATCACCGTCACCTACAATCAACATCATCATTATTAGGATAATCATATTTTTCATATCTTACAGAGATCAGTATCTAGATAATGATTATTACAGTTCAAGAGGTTGTGGAATGCTCGAAGACATTTCCGTCATTTTTTTGGTATATGTAGCCTAAGGTGTGATGAAATAAAAACGACTATTGTTTCTGTCATGAAATGAGTACAAAGGGTACTTTTGAGAGCTATTTTTCAGGTCCTGTTTCGACCCGAACGTGCAATTTGTGTAAAAGTCGTCGTTGCGGGCAGCAAACAAAACACAGTAAATCGTGACGTAATAAACAGGACTCGTGTATGCTACTCTGCGTCGGGAGTCCTGTTTATTACGTCACGATTTACTGTTTTTGTTTGCTGCCCGCAACGACGACTTTTACACAAAGTGCACATTCGGGTCGAAACAGGCATGACAGGACTTGAAAAACAGCTCTCAAAAATACCTTTTGTACTCATTTTATGACAGAAACAATAGTCGTTTTTATTTCATCACACCTTAGGCTACATATACCCGAAAAATGACGGAAATGTCTTTGAGCATTCCACAACCTCTTTAAGTACTTAAGTTGCTATATGTGGCCACAGAACCACAACTGTGGTGTACATGTAACTGCCTGCTTAGACTTGTGGACAAGTCACTAGACAGTCGTGTTTTTTTCTGTCTGCCAGGGCCCGCAATATTATTAGCACAGCGCTGTGTATCGTGTTGATCATTAATTGCTGGCCTCAACATGTCTAACAACTTGACTAATATGAATTCGGAGGGTTATCATTTATGCCTTACGTTTTCACAGAGAGGGCAAATGATAGCCCATCCTCTGGGGAAGCATCCATTATAAGAGTAAGGGACAGAAGGGATATCTTTCCCTTGATCAATGGACGCTTCTTTCTTTCACTTTTTGTTTTCGAACGAAATATTACATACTCCGTGGTAAATTACAAAATATAACATGTCACTATGTGCACCGTACATGCCAGGTGTCATATAATATTAGCTATCCTTCGAGCGCGAGTGGAACACGGAATAATGTAGTGCGTCTGTGTATGTGGGACACAGATGCACTACATTTTCCGTGTTCCACGAGCGTGAGCGTGATAACGAATTTATCTTCAAGCAAACTTGACGCGCAGTAAAGTTGGACCATCGCTTTACACGTACCTTTTAGCGGTTTACGCATGCAGCTGGAATGTCGCTCACATCTTGGAATAGCACAAAACGCAAGATGCGATATGGACCGTGCAATACAGCCTCATATCACACTGTTGATGGCATGGATCGACCAATCAGGATCGAGGATGCAAGTTTGCTTGAAGAACAATATTTATATCCTCCTGATTCTTGGCCAATCAGAGTTCTCCATACCAAGACGCATACATGCCAGGTGTCATATAAAACAATTCATATCCTCCTGACTCTTGGCCAATCAGAGATCTCCATCTAAATCTGGTGGCAAGTCCAATACATTGTGTACAAAGCCAGGTACAGATTATTCAAGTCATTAATTGGAACCACGTACAGCCATATTGGGGCCGAGGATGCACGAATCATTCCCACAAAGTGCCATACTGCACACTAAACGTAACCCTGGAACGGTATGCGGTGCATGGTACACGGCGGCGCAGGCAAACTAAAGCCTGCCAATTACACAACTTCATTTTAAGTGTACCGCCTGCTCTCCGTAACAAAGGCATACGTGTACAGTTTGCACTTGGATTTCTTCCAAATTTAGACCTTTATACATTTGTACTACTTTTGGAACAATTGCAGACAGCCCAGATTCTTTTTGACTCACACTTTTCTTTAACCCTCCGACGGACGCAGAAAGCCCATTTAGTAACACACTTACAGTAAGGGGTCCCCCGGGGACCCAAATATTTAGCGCCACGGTTTGAGGCTACACAACACTGTATCCACATGAACACAATCTTGCCATGTCTGTAGACTAAGGAGGTGTATTTGTATACATAGTCTGTGGTCAAGCCGTGCACTGTCTACCCGCAAGTGACCTTGTTTGTGCACGTGTATATGGTGGGTCCCCGGGTGGGCAGAAATTGTGTCGGTCCTTAGCCCAGGTTGTCATGCTCAGATATGCCTGACCCGGGGTCACACACTAAAGGTGACTGCATATATCCGTAGAGGGTGTCTCTTGCTAGGATTAGATGGACGATCACCAGAATTGGTTAGAATTTTTTTTTTTAATTAAGGTAATTAACCAAATTGGGTCCCCAAAAGGGCTAGTTTCTGCGTCGGAGGGTTAAACTGGCCAACATATTTTTGTTAGTTGGATTCTCTCACTTTGTGTGGACATCTATTTGATTGAACAGTTACACCACAGTGATCTGAAACTCCTTAACCCTAACTCCCTAGGCCTTTTGCTAGGATGTAGCCTCAATTCTGCAAAATCCTCCGTTATTTCTTGAATATGGACCAAGGAGGGGTGACCACTGCCTGAATCCTGCAAAATCCTCCGGCAATCACTGTCAATAGGCTGAGGCAGAGGCAGTGACATTCTGGAGCAGTGCGGAGGATGTCAAGTATAATCAAGGACTAAATTTATGCACAGCTGAGCATAAACAACACAAAGTCTGGCCCAAGACCTTGACACAGTGCGTACTCCGAAATCAGCAACACACTTTCACCATGTAACATCAATCCTGAAAATTCCTCCAATTTGCAAAAAGGATTTTGGAGGATTCAGGCCGGTTAGAGTTAATAGTGGGGAGCCATAAAGCATTTTAGTAATGTTGCCAGATTCATTAGATGCTATAAAAATCCACTGACAACATAAATATCAGCGATCAACATTGCATAATTCTGACCTCACTCTTTGGCCAATGGCACTTATTTTCTAAAAGACACTTGTAATGAATATTGAATTGTGTTTGAAACACCGATGCACTTCCGTGGAAACCATTGTGACAGTTTCTATCTATGCAGAAGCACAGTATTGCTTCTCTGGCTATACCCCATCAAAATCAAAATTCCTGAAGAGCTGCAAAAGTTCGGAAGGTTTATGAAAACAGACGAAATCATCACTGCTGGCCAATGTTTATCACTAAGAATGAAAATACAAACCCTTGTTTCCGTCACTGTCATCCGAATCTCCTGAAGCTGGAGGATCTGACGCTTCCGTTGGTTTACACGCCTCAGCTTCATTATTGGTCGTCGACGCTGCGCTTTCCTGACTATCACTATCAGTCGGTGGTGACTCATTATCACCGCTGGTAGTTCTTTCATTGCTTTGATCCATTTCAAGTTCCGATGTCGTACCCTCGGCGTTTTGCCTCGTGGAATCGACGGTCTGCTCCTGGGCGGGCGTAACCGCATCGCCGAGCGGCGGGGTAGCAGTGGCTTCAGCTCCGTTGGTGTGGGTCGCCTCGTCTGAGGGGGTAACATCACCCGACGCCTGGGAGTCACTAGAGGGAGTACTTGTTTGCGTGTGGATATCGGACAGGACACCGTTCACCATAAGGTTGCGGTTTCGAACCTCGCAGGAATGGGTGATGCGCTTTCCGGTCGGCGTTACTGTGCTCACAACCTGTACGTTCTGCAATGTCACAATGTCACAAAGTAAAAATTTCAAGTGAGTAATGTGTAGAGATTTTTCTATCCTTTCTGAAAACTACCTATGATCTGTTATCCCATAATTTTTTTTGACGTAAAAAAACCACCTCTACAACTCAGAAGTAAAATATGTAAAAAGATGCCAATTATAGTCTAGGATTTAAAAGGTGTCTGTTACTTTAAAATGTTCTCTTACTTTATCAAGGCCTAACCCTCCCTCTCTTGGTGATAAAATAGAGAGAGGTACCCTATCTGTCAAAATCTATCAAGTGACCGTTGTAATCTAGACTCAGATTTTTGGGTCTTCTCACCTTTTCAACTCCTCGCATGAACTTGTCGCTTCTCTGGTAGTAACGCTTTGGATGTGTTAGCAATTCACACAGACGTTGCATGGTGAATGGCGCACTGCAAACAATATTGAGAAATGCAATTAAACAAAAGGTCTCCAAAAACAAAAAAAAGACAAAGTGGAATGCTTTTATCGAGTAGAAGTTGATATACGTAGTAATAGGTGCTGCGATTAAGTCAAAATTTGCAGGCTAAAAATGTTTTCAGGGGCTGATCTAACTTTCAGGAAACAAGGGGGGTTGGGATTTGACATGGTGGAGGGGGGGGGGGGGGGAGTTGAGTCCAAGGCGTGCTGAGGGCACATCCTGCTAGGGGGGTCTGCAGGTAAGGCCCCCCCAGAAAATTTTGAAATCTGCGATGATTTCTCCTGCCTTCTATTAGGGCAATTCAAAACATATTTAGGAACTTAGCATTCCATATTTTTTCTGCACATTTTACTATTTTCATAACATTAGTCAGCAGCTGAACGGAGGGGGGTGGGGGGGGGGGGGTGGGGGGGGGGAGGGGGGATGGGGGAGGGGGGTTCCGACCCCCTCTAGATCCACTACCGTTATTACTTCTAATTTGTCAGTAAGTTAAAAAACAAACCACCCCCAAACTTTATTCTGCTTTATAGCAGGTTCAAGGACAATGGAGAACAGCGTATGAACTGTGAATGTACCTATTGAATGCGTTGAGTGCACGTAGTAAACGTTCCCTCATATCATCAAACTTGACGTTCTCTACGTTGGGCAACATGGGCACCTCTTCACATGGGTTGGACTGGATGTACTCTTGGATTACGTTCTCTAGTTTGGTGACAACGAGGGGCTTGAGCTTACTCCAAGGAAATCTGGAAAAATAAAATAAAATAAACAAACAAATGTAATAAGCCAAGGAAGTATTGTTGCAGGTCGTGCTCCAAATCCAGTTTGGGTCGATTTCGGTTTGGATATTTTTTTATCTGAACTATGGTTCAATTCAGGTTTAGCAGTAAATCTGAACATAAAAGCGAGTTGCTAGGGACGTACACAGTTTTAGGATTAACCCTAAACTTCCCAAATCCTTCAAAATCTTCTTTATAAAATGGAGAATTTTGCGGGATTGAGGTTACATCCTAACAGAAATGCCTAGGGAGTTAGGGTTAAAAACCACTTTAAAGTTGTGCTGTGCTTTTTCAAATAATTTTGAATTTCATTATTCTAGCTTGGACTTCATCAAATATGCCCATTTTTGAAATGCGATGGGATTTGTGTGCAAATGCGCTGTAAAAAATTGACAGAGAGGTTATTAAAATCATACAAAGAACATCATGTTTACAAATGTATGTATTTCAAGGTAGCGCAATGGCTGATGTTTAACAGATTTTACAGAAGAAATTTCAGCTAATTTTCCCACAGAAGCTTTAAATCATGCATGTAAATAGTGGCATTTGACAAATAAAAGCACCCAACTTATGTGATTAAAATAATATTTTGGATGTTTTTCATCATCTCCCAGCGACCGGTAGGGGCTGAATTGAACGGGGAAAAAAAAAAAAAAAAAAATTGCACACATATGAATATTGGGTTAAAGAGGTTGTGGAATGCTTGAAGACATTTCCGTCATTTTTCGGGTATATGTAGCCTAAGGTGTGATGAAATAAAAACGACTATTGTGTCTGTCATGAAATGAGTACAAAAGGTACTTTTGAGAGCTGTTTTTCGGGTCCTGTTTCGACCCGAACGTGCAATTTGTGTAAAAGTCATCGTTGGGGGCAGCAAACAAAACATAGTAAATCGTGACGTAATAAACAGGACTCGTTTATACTACGCTGCATCGGGAGTCCTGTTTATTACGTCACGATTGACTATGTTTTGTTTGCTGACCCATTTATGTCCCCCTATCAGTTTAGTACGTGTATTGGTGGGTGTGTAATCCAATACTTACAGTGGTTCTCCATTGCGAGCTATTCTGCACAGTAGTTGTTCAAGCTCAGATGGAATCTCACGCGATGGTTTCCGTTCAAATGCTGTAGACAATGTACCAAAGACAATGATTGAATTAGCTCAGAATAGTCACAACTTGCAAGCAATGTCAGTGCTACACGTAAATTTAAACAAGACAAGGCAAGCCCAGCAGAGCTGGGCCCAATTTCATGGCGCTGCTAAGCACAAAAATTTGCTTAGCACAAAAATAGTCTGGCTTATAAAAGCAGGTTACCAACCAAAACTCTACGTGATGTATACTGCTCGTGATTAGCATTCAGCTCTTGTTTGCTTAGCATGAAAATCACATGGAGTTTTGGCTGGTAACCTGCTTTTATAAGCCAGACTTTTTTTGTGCTAAGCAAATTTTTGTGCTTAGCAGGGCCGTGAAATTGGGCCCAGGTCCAGAGCACACCAAATGTTTTGACTTGACTCAGAATGGCTGTTCACTCAAAGCATCTTTTCATGCATATGGTGTGCACAATGGACCGGATTTTAGTACATCTAGTGACCTTGGTACATTTGGATTTTATTTCCCATTGACGGCCAGTCCGTGGCAAGGGCGGTCCCTATCAACAAGATGAATCAAATCCAGTCTTGGCAATATTGGCAGCGCTACCCAGGAAATTCTCAGCATACCTCACGTGCATGCATTATTAGAGCGTTTTCGAAATGACTGGCTTTGGCTTCGTTTTCGGCTTAAAGGGAAAATACATTTGCAAACATCAAAAATAAAACTACCAAATCATTTTGAAATACCTTGCTGGACTGTTAGTGTTAGTGAATGACAGTGTAAAGCATCCTGTAAAATCATGGCACCTGGTATACTGCCATTTTCAAGAAAAGTGCTATTTTTGTATCAATTTCCAACGCTGGTCGGCCGATCAGCGTTGGAAAAAAAACTGGCTTTTTTTCAAATACTGGCCCCAATTGACCATCGCACTTGTTTGCAATCGATTACACACACTATGATAGTATGAACGGGTACAAGCCAGCTAGACTGGTTCCCTGACCTTACAATTCCCCAATGTATGTAAACTGCTCTGTTTCTTCTTCAATGGAGTCAGGGAATCAGACTACAGGAAAATGATTGTTTTTCTTGGTTTTTATGGCATTTTTGAACCCAGAACCTCAAAAAAGTCAGTGTAACTATATTTGCTATATATTTCCAACCCCCCAATTCCATCCATTTCTGAAAATTACAGCAAAAGTAAATGATGTATATTCCCTTTAATGACATTTTAAACCCCCAACTTCTGGAACTCCAGCTACATTTTGGTGCCTGTTACGCTTCAGGAGCATTCCATCGGTCGATATGAAGCCAAAAGTTGGAATATTTTTGTTTAGTTTGCCTCTCAGTGATTCAGAAGTAGCAGGCAAAGCCGAAACCGAAGCAAAGGTTTCGAAAATCCCCATAGTCAGATAGTTTGAAACTTTGACTACAGCGCGTGTGAAGTACATGTATACTCAGAATTTCCTGGGAAGCGCTGCCAATATTGCAAAGACTGGATTTGATTCATCTTGATAGAGACCTCCACCGCAGCGGCAACTTAACCACATTTATCACGGACTGGCTGCAAAAAAAGGGAATACAAATTCAAGACTACCCTGTGACCAGCAAAAAGAACAAGTATGATTTCCACATAATGTATCATCTTTGATTGGCAGATAGACGAAAGTACACTTAAGTTTATCAAATTCTACAACTAAAGGCTTGTGATGCAGATATGCTAATTAACCCATTGTTTAATGTGAAACACACAATGTCTGAGTGAGGCCCATACCTTAATTAATCCTAACCGCCCCAACCTTCAAAATCCAACTGTTTGATTCTGTTGGAGTGGGTACTGCATTAGTAAAAACTGATTATACTTTACATGGGGTCAGGCATACCACCATAATCAGAGTCCAACAGTTTGGGTGTAGAGTTTACCATATGGTGTTGGACTTTGCAAGAGTGAGGAAGGTTCCTAGTAACTCACTCAAGGGGGTTAGGGTTAGTTAATCATAACTTGACATAAATAGAATGGGACAAGTAACGTTTTTAAAGTTGAAGTTCTAAAAGTTTTTGGATTCTGCGGAATTTATTTCTGATACTTAGAGTACTGTACTGGTACGTATGGTACATGTACATGAACTGGCAGTAAAATGCACAAAAGATCCAATTCACAAAAGATTCAATAGAGTAGAACCTCCGCACACGTTTTCCCTTGGCATCACGACAAAGGGACCACAAACACATAAAGGTTTCAAAGCTTTTCACATTATTCATAAATAGTGATACAGTGTACATGTATATACATTTGTATAGCCTACATTACATCTAGACATTTGTAACACCCTAACAATTTCTTTCACAAAAACCTGAACTGTTTACTTTCAATGCAGACACACAGAAACAGGGTATGGTACATTTATACAAATGTACATGTATGCAACGTGAAAAGAAATGTTTTACAATGGACGTTTGTGTGTATTTTGCCAGAGTGGAAGGGTGCTTTACTACATGTAATTACATGTATATTTGTCAAATGGCATTTACATTGCATCACCCATTTGAGAACAACACTGCTTATAGGTTTTTGAATAAAGATTGTGAATTTAGTACATGTAAAATAACTGAATAGTCTTTAGTCTTACTTCAACAGACACCTTTAACCCCAACCTTCCCAAATCCTCTGAAATTCTCTTTCCAAAATGGAATATTTTGCAGGATTGAGACTATATGGCAAAAATGTGTGGCTGTTTTTGAAGGATGCTCTGTGTAAAGGTCTTGGGTGGGACCTTGTGTTGTTTATGCTCAGCTGTGCATACATTTAGGTCTAGATCATACTTGAAATCCTCCGCACTGCTCCAGGATGACACTGGCTCTGCCTCAACGTATTGACAGTGATTCTGCAGGATTGAGGCAGTGGTCACCCCTCCAAGGACCACATTCAAGAAATAACTGAGGATTTTGCAGGATTGAGGCTGTATGCAATATTTGCATGGAGGCAGTTGGAGGATTTTGCAGGATTGAGGCTGCATCCTACCAAATATGCCCATGGAGCTAGGGTTAATCTAGTCTGAGTAACTTGGACCCAACTTATTGCCTTTTTAACATTCGGACATGGTCTGGCGATAGTGGGGTCCAAGCTAATAGTGCGAGCTGGACAACACAATTCTGTCACTGTCCCAAAAACCAACAGTTTCCAACAAAAAACATCCGATTTCACCTTCAAAACGGCCTCCAAATTACTAGATACGCCAACTGAGGTACAAGTAGACATCGATAATTAAGATGGTTGTACTGAAGTTTACTTACGATCCGGATGAAAAGTGAAATTTCCCGTTCAATTCCGAAAGCTCCCCTCGCGATCGTGAACACGTTAAATTTCCGATTCGTGTTAATGTTTGAACGACGCGATGTGGTCCTCATTCCCAGCGTACATTCGATGGTCCCCGTATACCGAGTGCGATTCCGTTACCGAGCGGGCGTGATGCATCGATTATGATAAGGCCAAAAAAAAGAATACTTCTGCTTCCGGTTACCCGACCGACCCTATTTTTAGGCTGCGACCCTAAAAATTTTATCGGCAATTCCACAAAAAAAAAAAAAAAAAAGATTGAATAAATAAAAATAAAAACCTTATGTCTTGTCTGTCTTCACAAAATACCTCTCAACAACCCTTTTGCATAAAAAAATGCTTGTATTTATTGTTTTCTTACTTACATTCGCTATTTTTTTCAAAAGAAACCTCCGTTATTTTTACAAATATTCGCTTTGCGATTCAACTACTTCGCAATTCGATGTCTATAATCACGTGCGTAATAAGCGCAATGCGGCGACGACTGGTTCCCGCCGCGCCAAGCAGGGTCCAATGATGAAAATGCGGTAACTAGTCTGTGCACTGCTATGCGATCGATAGCGCTAGCATGGCTATGCAGGCGCAGGCACGTGCTCTGTCAACTGGTCAGATTCGACATCGTAAAAATGCCAAGAAAGACATCGTAAAAATGCCAAGAAAACACCGATGGAGAAAGAACATTTTTGCAAGTTAATTCACAGATTTGATCTAGCTTGTTTGTGTATGTATTTTCCGTGTTCAAGAGTTCATTTTGAGATCGCACTACTCGTATTTGGAGTGATACAATGCAGCGTGTTTCCCGAAATTTTCGACCCGTTGGCCGCGGGCCACACATGTACATGTACAGTGCATCACACACTTCAGAGTTTTGGCCAGCTCCCCTTCTTGACTAGCGTTGTGCATATGGTGCGAACGACCTGAATTTTCCACAATTTTTTTTACGAATTATCGAACGTAAATAAATTGACAATAATTAAGGTAGGTTTTATTCACTTTTTGTGGCCATTTTGTGTATAGCTTTTGTGGTGCAATGGAAATAGTTCAGGCTAAAACTTCGCATATAATTGAATACCCCATTCAATCTGCATAAAAAAAATTGGCAAAAAAAAAAAAAATTCCGACCGACCGACCCTATTTTTGAAAGGCATGTAATCGGAAGCAGAACTATTCCTTTTTTTTGGCCTAATGAGTAGACTGGCTCGCATTAGTAAACACAGGTGCATTTCGAACGGTAAAAGGGAAGCGGGAACCAGCTTGAACTGGTATCCATCCATAAAAGCTGCCCTAGTTCCCGACTACCTATTAATATCGTTCGAAATGCACCTGTGTTTACTAATGCGATCCAGTCTACTCATTATCATATGTGCATCGCGCACGCTCGGTAACGGAATCGCACTCGGGATACGGGGACCATCGAATGTAAGCTGGAATGAGGATCACATCGCGTCGTTCAAACATTAACACGAATCGGAAATTTAACGTGTTCACGATCGCGAGGGGAGCTTTCGGAATTGAACGGGAAATTTCACTATCCATCTGGATCATAAGTAAACTTCAGTACAACCATCTTAAGTATCGATGTCTACTTGTACCTCAGTTGGCGTATCTAGTAATTTGGAGGCCGTTTTGAAGGTGAAATCTGATGTTTTTGTTGGAAAATGTTGGTTTTTGGGACAGAATTGTGTTGTCCAGCTCGCACTATTAGCTTGGACCCCACTATCGCCAGACCATGTCCGAATGTTAAAAAGGCGATAAGTTGGGTCCAAGTTACTCAGACTAGGGTTAATCTACATGTATCAAATGATTTCAACATTGGCAACAAGTGCTCTTGACCGAGCGGTGTAGACTGGTGTGTTTAATAATGAAAGTTCCATGGATGTTCAGTAAGTAAATACAGTAAACTTTGGCTAAACCGGCACTCTTGGGAACCGAAGAATTTATGACGACTTACGCGAATGCCTATATCTCCTGTAAGACGTCATTTTGCCGACTTACATGAATGGTCTTTTGCACACATGATTCATTGCACTAATTGGCTTTGATTTACCCTGGATTATCTCCTTAAAGTTAATGCTCGAGTTGAATCCAGCAAATTAATCCTCGAATTGTATCATCACATTTGGGGAATTGATAGTAGAGACCACGATACTATGTACATGCACAGTAATGAATCAAATGCATGCATGGTCCGGTATACCAAGCATGCGTTGACTGTAGCCCAGGTTGGACGAAGTCTTCATTGCATTACGACTGACGTCCAGGTCTCCAGGATGACAAATCTCTACATAAGACCACCCAAAATTTTGACCAGAGTTTTGTTATGTTTTACCTCGTTATAGAAGCTTATTTCACGCCTACATACTCTATGTGTCCTTATCTATTGGTCCAGGGGGTTAAGGAATTCCATATGTGATGCTGACCGACGTTAAGCAGGAAAATAAACTCTAAAGCAATGTTAAACTTGTACGTGTTTGTAGACTCTTTTCATCAGTTTCTCATCACCGTACCGCGTCGTACGAAAGCGCACACGCTAGCGCCCTCCTTGGTTGGTTTTGGTGGGAACGTGCAGTGACGTCACTCCAGCCAACCGAAGTCATGAAAACACTCCACCAATGACCAAAGCCGAAACATGTTTCTGGTCATGGTCGCTAAAACATGCCCTGTCATTAGTCCACGCGCGCTCGGTAACGGAATCGCACTCAGGATACGGGGACCATCGAATGTACGCTGGGCATGAAGAAGAAATCGTTCAAACATTAAACACGATCGGAAATTTAACGTGTTCAAGATCGCGAGGGGAGCTCTCCGAAATGAACGGAAAATTTCACTTTTTTTCCGGATCGTAAGTAAACTTCAGTACAACCATCTTAATCATCGATGTCTACTTGTACCTCAGGTGGCATATCTAGTAATTTGGAGGGCGTTTTGAAGGTGAAATCTGATGTTTTTTGTTGGAAAATGTGGGATTTTGGGACGGTGTTGTCCAGCTCGCGGTATTAGCTTGGACCTTACTATCGCCAGACCATGTCCAAATGTTAAAAAAGGCGATAAGTTGGGTCCAAGTTACTCGGACTACCCTGTCATTGGATAGGCGACCGCGCTTACAAGTTAGTGCGCATGCGTTTGAGGGTGGTTACTTAGTCTGGTTCCATTTAGTCTTAGACATGAGCGTCGGGAATAATTGTCAGGTCTGGCAACCAGACTAGTGGTTACTAAGCAAATCACGCGTGCACACTGCGAGTTCACGCTGCACGCCACGGACGTACGTCATGCATGTACGACTAGACTAGACTCGGCGGTGAGAAACTGATGAAAAGATTCTACAACAACGTACAAGTTTAAGGTTGCTTTAGAGTTTATTTTCCTGATTAAGGTCGGTCAGCATCGCATATGGAATTCCTGAACCCAGCGGCCTAATAGATAAGGACACATAGAATACTACGATGTAAAAATTCGCTTCTCCAACAAGGTAAAAATATTGAAAATATTGGTCATGCATGTTTTCGCCCGGTTTTGAGCACTTCATATCCTGGACTCCCTCCGTAGCGTAGGCCGTAGGGAGGAAAGGGAGGGAGTCCACCTGGGCTAGCATTGACTGCAGCACTAGTCATTCAATATTAGACGACCCCAAAATGCGGGCCTAAAGGTTAGCTTGCTGGGATAACCGCCGGCAAAATATCCACTATCTATATTATAATATACTAATATTACTAAAGAAAATGGAACATCATGCATATATTTCCCACTGCCTGATTCATTGCATTGGGCACGTAGGGCGCCCTCAAGTTCAACTAAACTAGTCTTCTCGACTCATTTTCTTCACACTGTGTAAGTTAAAAAAAAAATGTATTAATCCTTACCATTTAGAGCATCCAGGAAGGTCTCAGTATTCTCCTCCTTCTCCTCCGGCATTTTGGCTAACATAGCTCGAAATATGAATGTGAAAAACGGGTACAAACGTTATAAAATTACCACAAACCACCATCAAATGACGACTACATGTATGTACAAATATCCGCACCGGCTCGTACGCACGTCCGTACGCCGTACGTAATCAATGGAACTTATCGGAATTTCGGCGGCGGGAATTAGACATAACAGCTGGTATTCGCAATAGCTATAACACGATGAGGGACCAACGATTATCCAAGGTCGGCTGACATGCACGTTGAATGGTGAACACTAGGGTGACCGTTTTAGCCGATTTTCGGCTAACTTTGACAGATTTTTTGGTAAAAATAGGGTTTGACAGAAAATTTGACGGAATGGATTTTTTTGGCAGATTTCTAGCAGAATTCTGCAAAAATTGGTTATTTGACAGAAAAACATAGCAAATTTGAAAAAAATGGTACAGCTTCAGTCTTTGCAAACAAACCCTTGCATAATGGGACAGGTTGGCTGGTCTAGGCCTGTGATGAGGTTTACTGGGAATCGGACTCAGTCGTCGTGACGCAATCGCATTTTTCCATAGACCATAGATTATTTATGATGTGATTTGCACTTGCATGTGATTTGAAGTGTGTAGAGTGCATTGCGAGTAATTCTGGGGAATTTGGCAGATTTTTGATAAATCAACAGATTTTTTAGTGCATTTAGCAGAATTTGGCTATGACCTTACGGTCACCCGGGTGCACGCGAGACTTGACTCAAAATCAGCGAGTTCCAAGTTCAAATTGGATCATGGATCGCCACAAGTCATCACAAGTTAATTTTGTCATACTACTACTAGGCCATGAACCATCACAAATTTGGCAATTTGGCTTCATCTCTAATTGACCTGACTTGTAAACTGACTTGTGCTTGAGTCGATTGTAAATATCTCTTTTTCAGTTAGCTACACCGCGATTTTTTTCGTAGAACTTTACGGCGGGCATTGTAATTAGTTAACGTTAGGCCGAAATGATGTGCTCTGTTCCGCCCCCCCCCCCCCGAAAAAAATATTCACATTTTTGCATTGATTTACATAATGATCGTACGGAATGCTGCTCCATATAAGAAAAAAGAGTTGCCATAAACTTTAAGCTGTGTAAGCTGAACCAAAGCTTGTTGGTTTACGAACAAATAACAACAAATACCACGGTTTCGGTTATAACGAAAAAGAAATTCTGGTTGAATATAACAAAAACAAAACAACGTTTGGTTAATAATAACGAGAAAACGTTTCGTAGTAACGAAAAATGTTTAACCCAAACCCTTACGAAACAAATGTTTAACCCTAACCCTAACACTAACCAAAGATCGTTTAGGCATAGCGCCAGCGTGACGGTTATAACGAACAATCAAAAATTATGAATATAACGAAACTTCTAGTCGAGCAACTTTTCCTGATGTGGCGGCATTACGCTTCCATTATATAGTTATTATCGCAAGGCACTTTCAGCAGTATTGAAAAGCATTCAGGGGTATGAACCAGAATCGTATTAAAAAAAAAAAGAAATAATATGTTAACCCTATGTATACACACAAGATTCTCCGATCCATTTGCTTTTGTCTGCTGGTCAACATCACGTGTCAACTTTACCAAGCATTTATTTCGTGATATTCGTTTTCATGGATTTAGTATTGAATCAATTTATACAAAAAGAACACTTTAAAACGCTAGAGAATAATTCAGTGAAGCAAAAATTCGACATCATCAGTCCAACTGGTTCCAATATCTGAAAACTTAATTTTATTGCACCAATTATATGTACAAATAGGCTAAAGGATTATTAACACGCAATCTCGAAAAGCTACAAAAGTATGAACGGAAACTGATCCCTAAAACAAACTCGAGGGTTAAGAAATTGAAGGTAATAATAAAAAAAACCTTATTGTGATCTGCATGTTGAAAACTGCGTGAAATAAAGCACTTACATTACGGGCACACTTTTGACGTCACTTTTGACGTTTTAGGCAAACCGGATTAATGGACCGATCCAGTAAACCCATAGAGTTATATTATAAAAACTAGAGCGCGCATTCACTATACCGCACGCACAATGCAGACGTGCCAACCTGTACACCTCACCGCCATTTTGTAAGTGGGCAAAAAATACTCGGATGTGCACACTTCAGGATTGACTGCAATGCGTATCTTGTTGTTTTACTGTTGGTTCCACTTATAAATCCCCCCCCCCCGACGATGCCTTGTTTTACCGTGCTGTTTTGCCTAACGTTATGTGTTGTGCGCATGTGCTTTGCCCACTTACAAAATGTCCTTGCCAGCACGGGGTCACGTGATGAGTGCGCTCTCTCTATGAGTAAACCCCGCCCACTGCGCACTGGGCAAATTAACACGTGCTCCTACCAATGCCACACTGCATTTTCCTGCCGCGCGCATCATACGCGCGTGACTTTTGTGCGAGCACGTCGGACATATAAGTCAGGGCTGTGATTGGTCAGAACACCATGGGGCGGTGCTTACTGGATCAGTCAATCATAGTCCACCCACACACCGTATACCTTTATTAGGAAAAAACTCCGTTTATTTCGTTGCATTCCCGAAGATCATTATCGTACACCACCATACATTTATCGTGAATTTCATGTCGCGGAAAAAAAAAGATGTTGTAGAACTTCAACTAGTGTCTAGAAAAAAATTGCGATCATCGACAGCGTCGTGAAATAAATTATTTAGTACGTCTTAGTTGTCCCTAGTTCGGGCCCAGGGGCAGCGAAACCGGGGTGGCACTCCCCCCCCCCCTTAGATTTTCCCAAGTGCCCCTCCTGCAGACATAAATGTGCCCCCCTTGAGCATAAAATGTGCCGGCCCCCTCGAGATATATAAAAACAAAACTGGCTCTAAAATCTAGGATAATTTGTTTTCCCAAAATGGTATAGCCTGAGAGTTCTGATATAAGCGGGGAATATGAAAACCCGAGCCCTAAAACCTCTACAATGGGCCTTGAAAATGGGCACATTATAGATTTCAACCGGAAATACGTCAAGCACCAAGCATTGGAATTTTCAAGTCAGAATTTCTGTCTCTTAACATAGATGACATCATCAGGGGCCCACTTTGTTGGGGAATGGATAGGTCGATACACAATTTGGCTGAGGACTGTGTTTACCGTGACTGTTTATTCAACAACAATATTTTAATAATACACATTGATTGATTGAACTGGTTACAGTGAACTGAAACAAAGATGAATGGGTGAACTGACATAGACTAGAATAGAAATGGAACAGAATTGGAATGGAAACAGAATGAAACAGAATGAGATACTTCTGGTGGAGCAGCACTTATATACTGGTGGAAACAGGAAGTCTTGAGAATAAGAAATACTTAAGAATGGGGAAACTTAGTCTTATCGTGGTTTCCTTGAGTCTCAGAAAAATGACTAGGAATGAGTAAGTTCCTTAAAACAATGATCTTGAAAGTAACTTGATTTAGTGACCAAAGACTTGTGTGTGGGCAGTGAAGGTCATTTGCTCTGTATAAAAGTATAGGGACTACATATTGCATAGAATCCCGGGACATACCGTTATTTCGTTTTACCGTTTTGGATTTTCTCAAAAACAAAACAGTAAACGAACCATTGACCGTTTTGTCGTTTTACAGTTTTATAAAACGACAAACGGTACCAGCCCAGCCCCCCCCCCCCATTTAATTTTACGGAGGCCAAGTGTCCGGTGAAAAAAAACATGTCGACATCAAGTTCAGCACGGATGTGCCCCCCCCCCCAAAAAAAAGCTGGATGCGCTGCTACACCAACGGAAGATGCCTTGTATTGAGCAAGTGCCCCGGTGATGCGACTGTAACCGTTCAGTCCAAAAATTCAACCCCCAAAAGTGGGTGCAGTACATTTTGTTTTCGTCCTTCACAAATTTATTTAAACAGGCAATTGTTTTCAACTCAAGTTGATCAGTATGAAACTGTGCCACCCCTCTAAGTAAGTCTCGTGACCAAAATGTAATCGCCCATTGGGATTACGTCATTAGCATTCTATCGGACTCTCATTTCTAACCCAGGCTTGTGCTGAATGCACATTATGCAAATAACGTGTTTAGAAGATTTCCACTCATACTCCAGCCCTATTGTTACATTCATGCCTCGCTGATCACCATGGTACAGCGACCTAGCGTGCACGGGCTGTTGTTTCGGTGCTGGGCTAGGCCTTCATTACTGTCGTTGTGCTCCTCACGCTCACTGCATGCATGCAACTCATTACACTGTTCAAAATTATCATTTTGGCTGTGTATAAAATTGTTATTCTAATTGAACGTGCACATTGTGTCCAATTTATATTATATTAACAAAGACATCGTTACCATTTACTCCAAGATCAACACCAAAAGGGGCAATGTCTTCAAGAGCCGGAAAGAGGTACGTTACATGTCTCTGATTAATGTACATGATTGCGTATAGCGTGTATAAGCTCTGGTAAAAGTAGAGAGTTTTGTCACCTGAAACAGAGAACTCCTTAAATTTCATTGGATGTTAAAAAAAGTTTACATGGAAGATAAATTACAGCAGAATTCAGGTTGAACGAAAATGATTATTTTATTCAATAATAATGCAATGCCAATAGGAATTTATCACGTGCAGTGACATTGTGTTCGCACGTGTGTTAATTTGCACATAGGAATTTATAAAATACGTGCATTGACATTGTGTTCGCACGTGAGTTAATTTGCGTAGGAATTATAAGTGCATTGACATTGCGTTCGCACGTGGAACAGTTGAAGGGTAGCATTCCAGTGGAAGTTTTTTTTTTCAAATTGTTGTCCCTGAATAATTAAACTCTCTAATTTTCACCAGTATTTTCAATGATAAACCTGTGACAGTGTCTCCTTCATTGTCACATTGACTTGCAGGTCTTATGTGACTCCCTTTTTGGAGAAGGTTAAAAGACGTTTTCCACCTCAGTCTCAGAAACTAAAAAATAAATTGAAACCATATAAAACCTAATCAACATTCTGGGCAAAACGTTGGTGCAAGTGATGCAAACAATTAGGGTTTTTGTAGGTCAAGTTGGGAGGAGTGCAGACGCTGCAGGCGTGCATTATGCAGCATCCGCAAAGCAAAGCAGCTGCTGGATCTGTAGGAGTGTTAGGATAATGTTATATGCATTTAAATTCGGCGAAATGTTCTCATACGCGTTTAGAAACATCCGCACCGCGTTCTATCGCTTTTCTGTTCCACAATAGGGCATATTCATGCGTAATGTTCGGCAAACTCGTGTTTGTTTTTAGAGCGGAGACGGTTTGGTACGAAGACCGTGAAGGGACATGGGAGTTATTTAGTTTTTTTTCATAATACAATTACGTATGTGTTATTGTCACGTACGTACGTAACTCACGCACGTACTTGAATATTATCACGTACGTAGGTAATATTATCACGTAGGGCCCACGTGATAATTATTACGTACGTAGGGCCCACGTGATAAATATTAAGTACGTATACACAACGTATACTCGTTTAAGGATACACGTATTATCACTTACCTATGCAATACATGTACGTACATAATATGTACTTATTTATCAGGTATGTACGCCAAAATAATACTAATATTGCGTTAGTACGTAATATTATGTTATCACGTACGTATGTGATAAATTAAATGTATCACGTACGTACGTTGTGATTGTCATATGTATAGTAGTAGGCCCTAAATAAGAACAATATGTTCATCTCCTCTTGGTCTTCGTACCCACGTACCCGCATATCTGCATATCCGCGAACCTGCGTAATCGCGCGATTTCGTGTACCATACTTCGGAGTGATAAAATCTAGGGAACTGTTTAGCAAAGTGCAATGAACAGTGTTAGGGAAAATGAAGCAAACGAAAATTAGGGAGCAAGCAAAGCCCGCTGCGAGCATGCGCACATTGAGCCTGCAGGCAGTGCAATGGGGAGTTTTAGAAGTTTTCTACAAAAAAGAAAAGAAAGTATAACACTAACTTAATGCAAACGAAAATCAGTCTAATTAATAACACTGTCCCCTAAACTTGAAAGTACTGGTGTAGTTTATTTTATTTTATCTATTAAGAAACTTCACTCGCAAATTTAAAGTCGATTTTGTAATTGATTGATAGTCATTTTGTGATGTTCTATCGATCAACTGGAATGCTGCCCTCTATACGGACATGGGCTGGTACTTTGCTCAACTCAAAACAATAATTAAACAAAGTTAGTAAAACAACTACAGAAAGTGGCAATGCCTGGTGCGTTGTCCACCAACGACGATATAATTTCTTTATGACTGTCTAAAATGTTTAAGAGCAAACAAGATTCATAAATTCTAGGCCATCGGCAATTGACAATGACCATGCCTGGTGCAGTGTCACTTGTAAGGGATACCCTCTTCGGTGCACATTAGTAGCGCCAAATTCCAAGAGGCCCCTTCCTTAAGAAGAACTTGAACATTAAAACTTAAACCATTTAACAAAAACACGGAAGGACGTTACTACTTAAATAGCCATACAGAGAAAACTGTTGGTTAATAATTAACGCTAATTCCTAAATGAGCTCTCTGTTAAGGTGACATACACGCTCTTATAGTAACACTAAAAGGTCAAAAAATCTGGGATTAACAGCGTCTGTAAAAGCGCCGCATTGTCTATACTTCGCTAGTCTGTGAGCAGTGAGGGCACAGTTGACAGTTGACCATATTTTAATGATCGTAGTAAAATCCAAAGTCATAACTTTGGTTGATTATACTTTGCATAAATTTATATAAAAGACATTTTTATTCTGTGAAGAGCTTTTAAGCTCGGTTGATTATTAAGTATTTAAAGATAAACTTTTCTGTGAGTTAAAAAAATGCTTACAGAGAGAATGACTTTTGGGAGAAAAAACTCAAAAGTAGATTGTATTTTGTTTCATTGTAAATGTTGCATGTTTGATTTTTTGCCTTAGTGTGCATTGCTCTCTGTGTGGTGTGATTATTTTTAATGGTATCCGTCTGTTGTCTCTGACAATAGACAAAATTAAATGTTTTTATTTTTTTTTACCTTTTTACTGCAATACCTACCCGGATATTTACTTGACTACGCGTATGACGAAAACTGAAAACAAAATTCAAATCGGTCCAAAATAAATTGTAGCGAACACCAAATCGTAAGCGAATTTTTTTCCGAAAAAAAATCACTCCGCTTTCTACGTGTAGGCCTACACGCTAGGAAAATGATGAAAATAACGCGAGGAAAACATCACAGCGTTAGTGAGAGTAAAAATACCCGAAATCAGTATTATTTGTCTTGCCACAAAGTAAACAAAATGTGTTATGGAAATTACAAATAAAAATTACGAAAATAACAAAGTAAACAAAATGTGTTATGGAAATTACAAATAAAAATTACGAAAATAACGGCATAGAAATTAATCATCTTCAACGAGAGAAGTAAATACATGTACATGTACTTGCAAATTGGTGCTAATTTCTAAACTTCGATGCCTTTCAAAATTTGGCCACAGAAAAAATACCGGTTCTACATTGCCTCAAAAAGTCGGAAAGCGAATTTTGGCAAACGGTGGGAAAATGACGGCAGCAAAAGAAAATGAAATTGACGAAATTACGAGAAAAAAAATCACACCATAATGAACAAAATATCTGTTTAAGAAAATGACTGAATTTCAGTTATATACAGCGGCATTTCGAAAATATCAAAATTGTTGGCATTGTCGAGAAGTACCTTCAAAAAGACCTAATTGCGCCCCCCCCCCCTCAAAAAGTACATTGTGAAAGGTACAACTTATTGGCAACCTGCCATTATCGGCGTCGGCACATGTTCGTGTGCATTATGACAAAAAAAGATCATGTCTGTTTTTAAAAGTAAATAGTGGAAACATGGGTAGAATCGTTTAGTTTTTATTTGGTAACAGTGGCCTTATTACAGGTAGGCTTAGACATAATGCTTTGGAATGTTTCCCTTCAGTAACAAATGGGCTAGGCCCAGTGTTTTCGTAACCCTGTTCACTTAGGAAAGAGTTGCAGCTTTCATCAAAGAAACTGATGATCTAAAAGTTGAGACTGCATGGATGAGCTAGGCTGCTTTGTCTGGACGAAAATCAACCCTCCGAGGCTTCAACAGCCTCATCACACAGAAAGTCGAGGAACCGGAAGCAGGGAGGAGGACCGACAGATGAACGGATGACCTGCTTGCTGGGCTTCCCATTATTGATTCTTGAGGTTAGTTTACATGATGGCCTCCTCTTCGCGGAATCAATCAAGTCACAGAACTCATCAAAATGGGCGATCTGACTCTGTTATAATGTTCTTCCTCAAACAACGAGTTCTGGTAGTGGGCTTTGCTTTGTGGGGTTAATTCAATGTTTTCTTTCCCCTTTCTAGTCCTGGCACTAATACTGCTCAATAATTCAAATGTTTTCTTTAGTATCCTTTCAGAAAAATGAGGACCACTGACCGATGAGGGAATTGCTTTACTGAGATTGATGAGCCTACCTCAATACATCGTCAGGGCTCCAACAGCCTTATCACACAGAAACTCGAGGAACCGGAAGCGGGGAGGAGGACCGACAGATGAACGGATGACCTGCTTGCTGGGCTTCCCATTACTGACTATCAGGTTTGTGTACATGTAGCCTACTTCAACAGAAACAATCAAGAACTAATCAAAATGGGCGATCTGGAGCTCTTCTATATGTTCTTCCACAAACAACGAGTTCTGGTAGCGGGGCTTTGCTTTGTGGGGTTATTCAATGTTGTCTTTCCCCTTTCTAGCCCTGGCACAATTACAGCTCAATAAATCAAATGTTTTCTTTCGTCATTGAATCCTTTCAGAAAAATGAGGACCACTGACTGATGAGGGAATTGCTCTACTTGGATTGATGAGCCTGCCTCAAGACATCGCCAGGGCTCCAACAGCTTCACCAAACAGAAACCCGAGGAACCGGAAGCAGGGAGGAGGACCGACAGATGAACGGATGACCTGCTTGCCGGGCTTCCTATTCCTGATTATTAGGTTAGTTTACATGTAGGTCTCCTCTTAACAGGAACAATCAAGTCACAGAACTAATTTAAATGGGCGATCTGACTCTGTTATTATGTCCGTCCACAAACGAGTTCTGGTAGCAGGGCTTTGCTTTGTGGGGTTAATTCAATGTTTTCTTTCCCCTTTCGAGCCGTGGCACGAATACAGCTCAATAAATCAAATGTTTTCTTTCGTCATTGAATCCTTTCAGAAAAATGAGGACCACTGACTGATGAGGGAATTGCTCTACTGGGATTGATGAGCCTGCCTCAAGACATCGCCAGGGCTCCAACAGCTTCACCAAACAGAAACCCGAGGAACCGGAAGCAGGGAGGAGGACCGACAGATGAACGGATGACCTGCTTGCTGGGCTTCCCATTCCTGATTATTAGGTTTGTGTACATGTAGCCTACTTAAACAGAAACAATCAAGAACTAATCAAAATGGGCGATCTGACTCTGTTATTATGTCCGTCCACAAACGAGTTTTGGTCGCAGGGCTTTGCTTTGTGGGGTTAATTCAATGTTTTCTTTCTCCTTTCTAGTCCTGGCACAATTACAGCTCAATTAATCAAATGTTTTCTTTCCTCATTGAATCCTTTCAGAAAAATAAGGACCACTGACTGATGAGGGAATTGCTCTACTGGGATTGATGAGCCTGCCTCAAGACATCGCCAGGGCTCCAACAGCTTCACCAAACAGAAACCCGAGGAACCGGAAGCAGGGAGGAGGACCGACAGATGAACGGATGACCTGCTTGCTGGGCTTCCCATTCCTGATTATTAGGTTAGTTTACATGTAGGCCTCCTCTTAACAGGAACAATCAAGTCACAGAACTAATTTAAATGGGCGATCTGACTCTGTTATTATATCCGTCCACAAACGAGTTCTGGTGGCAGGGCTTTGCTTTGTGGGGTTAATTCAATGTTTTCTTTCCACTTTCGAGCCGTGGCACGAATACAGCTCAATAATTCAAATGTTTTCTTTCGTATCCTTTCAGAAAAATAAGGACCACTTACTGATGAGGGAATTGCTTTACTGAGATTGATGAGCCTACCTCAAGACATCGTCAGGGCTCCAACAGCCTTATCACACAGAAACTCGAGGAACCGGAAGCGGGGAGGAGGACCGACAGATGAACGGATGACCTGCTTGCTGGGCTTCCCATTACTGACTATCAGGTTTGTGTACATGTAGCCTACTTAAACAGAAACAATCAAGAACTAATCAAAATGGGCGATCTGGCGCTCTTCTATATGTTCTTCCACAAACAACGAGTTCTGGTAGCGGGGCTTTGCTTTGTGGGGTTATTCAATGTTGTCTTTCCCCTTTCTAGCCTTGGCACAATTACAGCTCAATAAATCAAATGTTTTCTTTCCTCATTGAATCCTTTCAGAAAAATGAGGACCACTGACTGATGAGGGAATTGCTCTACTGGGATTGATGAGCCTGCCTCAAGACATCGCCAGGGCTCCAACAGCCTCATCAAACAGAAACATGAGGAACCGGAAGCAGGGAGGAGGACCGACAGATGAACGGATGACCTACTTGCTGGGCTTCCCATTCCTGATTATTAGGTTAGTTTACATGTAGGCCTCCTCTTAACAGGAACAATCAAGTCACAGAACTAATTTAAATTGGCGATCTGACTCTGTTATTATATCCGTCCACAAACGAGTTCTGGTGGCAGGGCTTTGCTTTGTGGGGTTAATTCAATGTTTTCTTTCCACTTTCGAGCCGTGGCACGAATACAGCTCAATAATTCAAATGTTTTCTTTCGTCATTGAATCTTTTCAGAAAAAATGAGGACCACTGACTGATGAGGGAATTGCTCTACTGGGATTGATGAACCTGACTCAAGACATCGCCAGGGCTTCAACAGCCTCATCAAACAGAAACATGAGGAACCGGAAGCAGGGAGAAGGACCGACAGATGAACGGATGACCTGCTTGCCGGGCTTCCCATTCCTGATTATTAGGTTAGTTTACATGTAGGTCTCCTCTTAACAGGAACAATCAAGTCACAGAACTAATTTAAATGGGCGATCTGACTCTGTTACTATGTCTGTCCACAAACGAGTTTTGGTCGCAGGGCTTTGCTTTGTGGGGTTAATTCAATGTTTTCTTTCCACTTTCGAGCCGTGGCACGAATACAGCTCAATAATTCAAATGTTTTCTTTCGTCATTGAATCCTTTCAGAAAAATGAGGACCACTGATTGATGAGGGAATTGCTCTACTGGGATTGATGAACCTGCCTCAAGACATCGCCAGGGCTCCAACAGCTTCACCAAACAGAAACATAAGGAACCGGAAGCAGGGAGGAGGACCGACAGATGACCTGCTTGCTGGGCCACCCATTACTGATTCTTGAGGTTAGTTTACATGTTGGCCTCCTCTTCGCGGAATCAATCAAGTCACAGAACTCATCAAAATGGGCGATCTGACTCTGTTATAATGTTTTTCCTCAAACAACGAGTTCTGGTAGCGGGCTTTGCTTTGTGGGGTTAATTCAATGTTTTCTTTCCCCTTTCTAGCCCTGGCACGAATACAGCTCAATAATTCAAATGTTTTCTTTCGTATCCTTTCAGAAAAATGAGGACCACTGACTGATGAGGGAATTGCTTTACTGAGATTGATGAGCCTACCTCAATACATCGTCAGGGCTCCAACAGCCTTATCACACAGAAACTTGAGGAACCGGAAGCGGGGAGGAGGACCGACAGATGAACGGATGACCTGCTTGCTGGGCTTCCCATTACTGACTATCAGGTTTGTGTACATGTAGCCTACTTAAACAGAAATAATCAAGAACCAATCAAAATGGGCGATCTGGCGCTCTTCTATATGTTCTTCCACAAAAAACGAGTTCTGATAGCGGGGCTTTGCTTTGTGGGGTTATTCAATGTTGTCTTTCCCCTTTCTAGCCCTGGCACAATTACAGCTCAATAAATCAAATGTTTTCTTTCGTCATTGAATCCTTTCAGAAAAATGAGGACCACTGACTGATGAGGGAATTGCTCTACTGGGATTGATGAGCCTGCCTCAAGACATCGCCAGGGCTCCAACAGCCTTATCAAACAGAAACACGAGGAACCGGAAGCAGGGAGGAGGACCGACAGATGAACGGATGACCTGCTTGCCGGGCTTCCCATTCCTGATTATTAGGTTAGTTTACATGTAGGTCTCCTCTTAACAGGAACAATCAAGTCACAGAACTAATTTAAATGGGCGATCTGACTCTGTTATTATGTCCGTCCACAAACGAGTTTTGGTCGCAGGGCTTTGCTTTGTGGGGTTAATTCAATGTTTTCTTTCCCCTTTCGAGCCGTGGCACGAATACAGCTCAATAATTCAAATGTTTTCTTTCGTATCCTTTCAGAAAAATGAGGACCACTGACTGATGAGGGAATTGCTTTGCTGAGATTGATGAGCCTACCTCAAGACATCGTCAGGGCTCCAACAGCCTTATCACACAGAAACTCGAGGAACCGGAAGCGGGGAGGAGGACCGACAGATGAACGGATGACCTGCTTGCTGGGCTTCCCATTACTGACTATCAGGTTTGTGTACATGAAGCCTACTTAAACAGAAACAATCAAGAACTAATCAAAATGGGCGATCTGGCGCTCTTCTATATGCTCTTCCACAAACAATGAGTTCTGGTAGCGGGGCTTTGCTTTGTGGGGTTATTCAATGTTGTCTTTCCACTTTCTAGCCCTGGCCCAATTACAGCTCAATAAATCAAACGTTTTCTTTCCTCATTGAATCCTTTCAGAAAAATGAGGACCACTGACTGATGAGGGAATTGCTCTACTGGGATTGATGAGCCTGCCTCAAGACATCGCCAGGGCTCCAACAGCTTCACCAAACAGAAACATGAGGAACCGGAAGCAGGGAGGAGGACCAACAGATGAACGGATGACCTGCTTGCCAGGCTTCCCATTCCTGATTATTAGGTTAGTTTACATGTAGGTCTCCTCTTAACAGGAACAATCAAGTCACAGAACTTATTTAAATGGGCGATCTGACTCTGTTATTATGTCCGTCCACAAACGAGTTCTGGTAGCAGGGCTTTGCTTTGTGGGGTTAATTCAATGTTTTCTTTCCACTTTCGAGCCGTGGCACGAATACAGCTCAATAATTCAAATGTTTTCTTTTGTCATTGAATCCTTTTAGAAAAATGAGGACCACTGACTGATGAGGGAATTGCTCTACTGGGATTGATGAACCTGCCTCAAGACATCGCCAGGGCTCTAACAGCTTCACCAAACAGAAACATGAGGAACCGGAAGCAGGGAGGAGGACCGACAGATGAACGGATGACCTACTTGCTGGGCTTCCCATTCCTGATTATTAGGTTAGTTTACATGTAGGTCTCCTCTTAACAGGAACAATCAAGTCACAGAACTTATTTAAATGGGCGATCGGACTCTGTTATTATGTCCGTCCACAAACGAATTTTGGTCGCAGGGCTTTGTTTTGTGGGGTTAATTCAATGTTTTCTTTCCACTTTCGAGCCGTGGCACGAATACAGCTCAATAATTCAAATGTTTTCTTTCGTCATTGAATCCTTTCAGAAAAATGAGGACCACTGACTGATGAGGGAATTGCTCTACTGGGATTGATGAACCTACCTCAAGACATCGTCTTAACAGGAACAATCAAGTCACAGAACTAATTTAAATGGGCGATCTGACTCTGTTATTATGTCCGTCCACAAACGAGTTCTGGTAGCAGGGCTTTGCTTTGTGGTGTTAATTCAATGTTTTCTTTCCCCTTTTGAGCCGTGGCACGAATACAGCTCTATAATTCAAATGTTTCCTTTCGTTATTTGAATCCTTTCAGCAAAGTGAGGACCACTGACTGATGAGGGAATTGCTCTTCTGAGATGAGGATGAGCCTGCCTCAAGACATCGTCAGGGCTCCAACAGCCTCATTAAACAGAAACCCGAGGAACCGAAAGCAGGGAGGAGGACCGACAGATGAACAGATGTCTTGCTTGCTGGGCTTCCCATTACTAATTCTTGAGGTTAGTTTGTAGTTACATGTACCTAAAGAATAAGCAGAAACAAGTAATCAAAATGGGTGATTTGGCGCTCTTCTATGTTCTCCCACAAATAAAGAGTGCTGGTAGTGGGGCACTGCTTTGTGGGGTTAATTCGAACATTTCTCTCCCCCCCTCTTGCTCTGTTACTTGTTAAATTTACTGAAATACCTATACCTGAATATATGACAACGAATATAACGAAAATTGAAGCAATAAAGTCAAATGTGTGTAAAAAATAACATTGCAGTGAAAATCAAATCATGAGCGGATTTTCTTCTCACAGAAATGCTTCACCGTTTCCAACAAGTGGCTGAGAAAATGATGAAATTTGCGCAGAAAATAACTGAAATCTGTGTTGTTTTTACCTTTACTGCGATACCTACCCGAAATATTGGACTAAACGCGTGTGACGAAACGTGGAAACAAAAATCAAATCGGTCCAAATTAAATTACAACGAAAATCACATAGTACGTAGAGTTTCTTCTCGCAGCACGGCACTCTGTTTCTACAGGTAGCTACAGGAAAATTACGAAAATTACACCGAAAATCAACGCGGCATATAAGTGAAGTGACGAAACATAGTTTACACGGCTAAAAAATCGCAGCGTTAGTGAGAGAAATAATACTTGATATCAGTGTTATTTTTCTTACCTACAAAGTAAAAAAAAATCGATTGCGGAAGAACGAAATTAAAGAGAAGAAAATTACGGTAAAAAGATTAACAGCGGCAGCGAAGGAAATAAATATTTGAAAATCATGCCATGCAAAAATTTGCTAAGGAAAAATGACCGAAATAATGGCAACAAAAAAATTTCAAATTATAATCGGCAGCCACTTCCGGTACGGTACTACACTGCTTAAAAAAGTTGGAAAGCGAATTTTGGTAAACGGTGGGGAAAATGACGGCAGAAAAAAAGGTAAAAAAAATACGGAAATTAAGGAAAAACTCCATTATATCGATGTAAAGAAAATGACTGAATTTCAATTAAAGCAGCATGTTAAAGTCATTCCCCCAAGTTCTAGGCCTACACCACATCTTTAAGTATTATTCGTCAGCGAAAATAACTGCAATTTGTGACATTGTCAAGAAGTTTGCCTTCAAAAAGGCCAGAAATAGCCATGTTATACATGTGAAAGGGTACAACTTAAGTGTAATCAACAAAGCGATAGGGAAAATGGCTGTATAAGACATGCGACATTATTTACTATCGCATGCGACATTTCTTTGTGTATTTGTAAAGGTTTAAACTTAATCTACATCATTTATGTGAGTCCGATTTGGAAAGATAGGCAGGGATACATGTTTTCATCAAGTATATATTTCTCCTTTGAGTTACTTATTTGGTTGTCTTACTTTGACCTTTTGATAACGTATAAGGCCGACAGTGCTGTTTTATTGAAGGGGAGAACACGAAAACCATAACGGAAAAAAGCGTTGCAGTAGTTAAAGAGATCGGTCTAATATAGACTTTCACGATCAAATCTTTGTGGGCTACGAGTATACCGTACTTAACGTAAATTTCAAAAGAAAGAATTTCAAGATATGCGACAGGTTTAGAGTAACATAGAAAACTACTATTTCCTTGTTGATTTTAGCCTACGTGTAACCATCCTTCCGTATAGTACTATGTTCAATGTAAGTCCGATTTGGAAGGGATTGGCAAGGATTAAGATGGCATTTTGTCATCTTAATGTCACGTGAATTTCTTTTAATGGTTGTTTATAGTGTGCGAGTTATATGCAGTTTCCAAAGCAACCTGCCATTATCGGCGTCGGCACATTATGACAAAGTAATCGTGTCTGTTTTAAAAAGGAAATAATGGAAACATGGGTAGAATCGTTTGGTTTCCATCGGGTCCTACCCATGACCTGGTTATAGGTAGGCTTAGACATAATTATTGGCTACATTTGCAATGTTTCACTTCAGTAGCAAATGGGCTAGGCCCAGTGTTTTCGTACCCCTGTCCACTTAGGAAGGAGTTGCAGCTTTCATCAAAGAAACTGATGATCTAAAAGTTGAGACAGACTGGATGAGCTAGGCTGCTTTGTCTGGACGAAAATGAACCCTACAAGGCTCCAACAGCCTCATCACACAGAAACTCGAGGAGCTGGAAGCAGGAAAGAGGACCGACAGATGAACGGATGACCTGCTTGCTGGGCTTCCCATTACTGATTCTTGAAGTTAGTTTACATGTATGCTTCCTCTTAGTCACAGAACTCAAAATTGGTGATTGGCGCTTTTCTGTGTTCTTCCACAACGAGTGCTGGTATAGCGTTGTGTTGCTTTGGGGGGTAAATATCGAAGTTTTCTTTCTCCTTGCACATATTTCTTAATAATATTTCAGATTCTTTTTTATTCTTTTTCTTCGTCATTTGAATCCTTGTAGAGAAATGAGGACCACTGACTGATGAGGGAATTGTCTTACTGAGATGAGGATGAGCCTGCCTCAAGCCATCGTAAGCTGGGAGGACCGACGATGGACTGATACTGCCTACTGGCCTGGCCATTACTGATTCTTGAGGTGTGTTTACTTTGAAAACGAAAAGAGACCAGGGTATGAGGATTATAATTTGTTATTCCTCTGATTGTAGTTTGTCCCTCCTACAAAATCCACAGTGCTTGATTTCCTATTATGTATTTTTTTTAAATTTGCTTGCTTATTTTGTCATGTTTAGGACATGAGGACCACCAAGCTTGGACGAGACTGGACAATGACGAAGCTGCTCTACTGGACAAGGATGCCTTCATCAGAAACTTGAGTTAAAAAAACTAGCTTGCACAATATGAAATGATAAATCAGACTGCATAATGCAACGACATTAATGTTATACACTAAGTCAATAACACTAAAATAAAATGAAAAGTAATTTGGTTTCATTAAATTATTTATGCCTCTAAAATAATCTTAAACCGGATACTGCATCAGACAGTTAACATTGGACAATAATGGAAACTTGCTGACAAATTATTGTAAGGATAATGATTTGTCACTGGCTTTTTAGCAGTGACATGTCTGGTAGAAGGGATGTTCCTTGATCTGTCCTGGGTCATCCAACATTATTGCATCAATAAGTTAATAATTTCATACTCCTTACCTTTAATACATTCAATTGGATCTTCTCGGTAAATTATAAACGAGGTCTCGCCTCAGGCTTTCTATTTGCTTTTTGTTCAGTTGACAATGGAGAACTTTGCTCTATAAATTTAATTTGATATTGAAAGTGCACTTTTAAGAAAACCAATTTAAATCATAAGAGTTTTAAAAGATTTCAAAAAGGATATAATTTATTGTTTAAAAACTGAAGAAATGTAACAAACTTTATTTAAATTTAACGTCTTTAACAAGACGTCGGTTTACCTTAAACGTGACTTTCTATCCATTGTATATTTATTAGAAAACACAAGAACGTTTAATGTTTAGGCAAATTTAAAGAATAAACTGTTCAGGAACTTCTATCCATCAAAATGCATTGCAACAGGTATAAGTGACACTCAAATTACATTTGTGTTTGTCCTTTTGTAATTTATTTCATTGCACTTTTTCACTTGTTATATTTTTTACTTCATATGCACAATTGTTTTTCTTGGTGGTTTTGCATGTCTTTTCATTTTCTTATTAATAATTAACTAACCCCACAAAAGGATAAACGCAATATATATCGAGTGTTGAACTTGCCTCGCATCAAATATTTTTTTCACATAATCGCTAAATTAGACGAAATATAGTCCTGAAATGTTTCAAAATCATCTAAGATTTTTTTTGGAGGGGGGGGGGGCATTCCCAAGTTTTATCTTCCCTTTTTAAAATGTTATTCACAAAATGGCGAAATACAAAAACCTGGCTTTACCGTGTACAGTCATGTAGTCGTTGCTTATGTAAAAATCATCTATGATATTATAAAGTGATTGTTAATTTCTCAAATTTATTGGCCTTCTGCCCAACTTTTTTTCCTCATTTGGAATCTTTTGTATTTGTTTGTATGAATTGGTTTAAATATTTGTATGTCAATAAAACTAAGGAATTAAACAAAATAAATAAAACTTGAAAGATGTGAGACACTTGATATCCTTGGAAAGTTGTCAGTATTTTGCCAATTTTTGTTTTAGTTGTTGGCGGGGGAGGTCAAGCTACTACAAAAGTAACAAAACCCAGCTGAAATGACGTTTTATTATGTATGGGCGATTAGGGGCGGGGTGCGCACATAAAGGCACGTCAGGGAATATAAAATAATTAGGTGTTTTTGTAAGGGAAATCTTTACTCTTGAATGGAAATTAAAAAAATCTCCTAGGCTCCTAGGTTCTACCTTTTAAGATTGTCCAATAAAAAGACCCGAATTTGCATACGCCGGCCAAATCACAATTTCCATGCCCCTATAAAGGGCTTTTAAAAAGAACTTTTGCAAATGGAAAAGACACTTTGGAAACATCCAATCAGTTTGAATATGCTTCATGAATTTCTGAATAAACGAGCACATTTTTAAACAGTATTTAATTACTATTATTTTTTCGATGTGGTGGTGGGGAGGGGGTGGCTGGGGGGGGGGGGGGGTGTAGACAGAAGATATATCAGAAGTGGCGCAATAAAACCGACAGCGGGCGAAATAATTTTGATAAGGGTTTCAACAATTTACGCGAGTCGTTAATTTGCATAAAAAGTGCCCCCACAATTTTTGGTAAAAAACGAGAACGTCTAGTTAAAAAATGTGGAATCTTGCGAGTAACCGAGGATCATCTCCCTAGCTTTTGGTAACTTTGGCAGTATGCAGGCTTAGCATTACCGGCAGGCTTCAACCCCATCACGAACACATTCTCGCAAAATGTGGTTCGGCAGCTTTCTATACAAAAACCTCGTTTGATCGGGGTTTTGTGCGTAAACCTTATCAGTCGGCCCATCACGCTAAATTGACTTTGCCAAAACGCAAGTCCCATCATAAGGAATAAGTTAACCGGACCATCTTTTCCAAGAGTGTGTCTCTAATGTATGAAACCAGTTTTTGTTAAAATTATCCGGGAAAACCTATATTAAGCGATCTTTTTCTAAGTTCCTAGTTAATCATTCCCGACATCTCATCATATTCTCGACATGTTTGCAAAGACTTGGATTGAGTTTACGTCAGAAAAACCAAAAATGGCGCATGGACTCTGCATCCATATTCTAGGTCATGAGTTTAATTAAAAAGGTATTACAGTCAACTCTCGTTAGTACAAACTCTGTTAATACAAAATTCTGGTTACAACAAGGCGCTCTTGATGTGTCGACAAGCTCATGAACCCGGGGCGTGTTTTCGCGACCACGACCAGAAACATGTTTGTGACGTCAAATTGATAACCAGAAACATGTCTACACATGCGCTCCAAAAGCGCTGAACTGAAAACCGTGTCAAAAAGTTGTAAACAAACATGGCGGACATTTCGGACAACATTGATAATTTTTAGGTGTTCGCTGCCATTCCAGGCGTGGGCGTGTAAGTTGTATAGACATTTTATTACAGGCCACTTAAAAGGTACAAACATAAATATAAGCATTACAAGCTTATTTTCCCAAAACACTGTTTTGTTACGGGTCGTGTCAACCTCGTCCCCAGGGTATCGAGCTAGCAGTACGCGCCCACCACTACCTGCTCTCTCACCCTGGTGTGTAGACCACTATCATGTTGCAACTATCTTGGATTTTTCTCATTAAAATCAACGTAACCAAAGCGAGGCTGGAAGGAAAAATAGTCTGGTTCCTTTTCACAACAAAATTCTATTCAGTACTGTTATTATATACGGGAAACATGACTGAAATGGTGGCAGCATGATTTATTGGATCATTTGCATGTGCAAGATTTTTGAACACGTATGCAAATGAGGAATAGTCTGGTGCCTGCGTGTGCGTTACATTGGCGTTTGTTTTTGTATGCGGTGTCTGGGGTAAAAACAGCATCCATTCTTCGCGCCGTGAGCTGAGTTACGAAAACACGATTGTTTTCAAAGTAAAAATTCTAAAGTGTCGCATTTTATATTAATATGAGCAAATTGGAAAAGAAAAGAGTATTTTTGATAAGGCGTGGACGTTATAATTACATTGATCGTGAAAACACGTAGTACACGTTGAAAATAACAACACCAAGTAGCCTACACGATATAAATGCATTAATAGCAAATTGCAGTATCGAATCAGGATACAGGAAGAAAGTTTCCTATATCCAGGGCTTACTATTGGAAACGAGGTTGGAAATAAAGTAAACACTGAAGACGAGGTTGATATCGTGTATTTATCTTTCCGCCATCTTGAAATGCACTCCGTAACCGACACTTGGCCTTGGTTCGGTTTTGGTCGGAACAGTGACGTCACTCCAGCCAACCGAAGTCACGAAAACGCTCAACCAATGACCAATAACAAAACATTAACATGTCGGTGTGGACTCTTGCCAACATCGAGCTAAACCGAGAGGAGTATGAACACTGATTATTGGAAGTTCTCCCATGCAAGTTAAATAATGCTAGAACGAGTGACTTAGTTTATTCAATGCCGCCCTCTCTGACCGAAGTTTGTTGACTGTTTTTCGCAGCGTGGCGTCCCGATAATGTTTCCATGTGAGCTCTTTCTCGAAGTTGCCCTGGAGTTCGTCTACGCTGCCATACGGTGTAACCTGTCGCAAAGAATGACACGGTATAAACTAAATTATGACATGCACACACTACTGGCAAAGATAAACCGGAGTACGAGTACATTTTCATTTAGGTATATTTAAGTAGCGTTCCCATGCTCTTCAACAAATTCCAGTTTTTTCTTCAGTTAATAAATGTTCAACTGCCAGGTTACAACCCAACACCCCCCCCCCTTGTTTGGACGTCTAAAACCCTCTGAAAAGAAGATTCTTATTTTGGAAACGTATCCACTTTGGCTCCCCGTCCGTACATTATCGATACCGACTGTGGGGACGGAACTTCACTCTCACTCCCCGCCCTGCAAACAAGGCGCTAGGGAGAGCTGGTGGTTGCAGACCAGTAAATCGGTCCAAAATTGCCTACGCCGGCAAAATCACGATTTGCATGCCCTCAAAATCTTCAGTATTTGAGCATGATGTGGGCCATGAACTTCAGGGTTTGTAAAAAATAGCCTTCGCAAGCAGCTAGCGCGCTATGTAAGATAAACATCAGCTGTGCATGTTGCATGCTACGTCACAGGTCTCGCAAAATCCATCCAATGAAAGCTCGAAGAGATCAGCCCTTGTCAGCGTCCTGTTTGCAGGGGAGGGGGGGGGGGGCGAAGGAGGGAACCAGCCTACGGCCCGGCGCGAGTTTGGAGTGGGAGTCTTTTGAGACGCTTGGTGGCAGCAAACACACCGGTACTTTTCTATTGTTTACATCATTCCGATCATGCGCAAATTAGGTTAAGGATGCAGAACTGTAAGTAGGCCAGCGGGCCAAATCCCAATGTTTACGCCCTCTATTTCTTTGCATTAGAGCATTATGTGGACCATGATCTTGAAGGTTTTTAAACAAGATGGGTGTAAGCCATGCAAAGGAATGCAAGTTCCTTTTATTTCTGTGAAATTCGGATGAAATTAGGCCCTGCAATTGTTCTAATTTGCAGTGGAGCTAAGGCATCATTTTTCAAAATGGCGATGGGCCACAGGACTACTTTAGGGGTGATCATGGAATTTCCCCTAACGCCATCGGAATACGACTCAAAAATTGAACAGAAAACAAAAGATGATGAAATAAGCTTTAATTTGATGGGTGTCTCACACTCATTGGAGAGTTGTGAGAATGTTTAAAATAATATTTCGAAGTATACTTCCGTGTGAGACACCCATCAAATTAAAGCTATCACTGAGGTGTATGGGGGCCGATTTACAGGTCTGCAAACAATTGGCCTTATTCCCAATCGGGAACGAATGAGGGCGCTGTCGCAATGCAATCCAATTTTATAGACATCAATTCTTTGCTTCAATTCAAAAGTACATTTTTTTACAATATTAAACTTTAGATTGAAGTAAAGTTACTTAACTCCAGTAATAAACGAGATATTTTCAGCGTCCTGGCTCAAGAATAAGGCCAATTGAAAAGGTCCAGTGTGTTTGCTGCCACCAAGCGTCTTATAAGTCTCCATCATTGTCTTGCAGCCAATAATTCGAAGTTGTAAATATATTTACAATTATTTAGTAAGGCCAATAACTGAACATTGAGCAGATGTTTTTTTTTCCGGTCGATGTCTCAAGTGATCACCTGTTGTATTGCTAGAAAATGGCAATTTAGAAAAAAATATTTTTTTTCCGGGATGAAACGCGAAAATAGGTCAGGGACGCAAATGTATTTTTTTCTCTTCCCCGCAAGCAAACTGCGAATCGTTTTAATTATCTTCAGTACCATCGACACAGCTGTCATCGTTATCATCCCCAACTATCGTCACTTGTCAACGTCGAGTTTCGAAACCAACCGGTTCTTTTTAGAACCACACGACTTCTCAAAAGAGATATTTCCACACGGTGTTACCGCCCACCCCTCACAAGCTTAGACTTTACACGAACAGTTTTAAATCTTACTTATCATTAATGTTGTTGCCAATCACGGTCAACGTCATTGTCATCATCGATAATTATTGCGTCCTCACTGTCGTCATTGTCATCCCCGTACTGTCCTCGTCATTCTCGTCATCAAGAGTCACCGCCATTACCAAAAAGCTTCGTTATCGGTGTTGCGGTTGAAGGGAAGATACAACATTTGCAAACATAAAACAAACCCGAATGATCGAATTATCACGAAATACCTACTGCATGTTTGGGAATGACAGTCTAAAAGCATCCTGCAAAATCGTGGATCCTGGTCAGCGGTGCTGACATTTTCAAGAAAATTGTATAACCGGCCGACCAGCGTTGGAAAAACTATGTTATAAAAAACTTTTCCTAAGACTTCAAATTGAGTTATTCTGCATTTTCTTTGCAATTGATTACACACCTGTGAAGGGGTACACGCCTGCTAGACTGATTCTCGAACCTTAAAATTCCCAAAGTATATTAATTATTCCGTTTCATGTTGAGTTGGGTCAGGGAACCAGACTACAAGAACATGATTTTTTTTTTTTGGTTTTTGCCAGCATCTACAAGCTCAAAACGTGAAGCAAGTCAGTTTAACAATATCTGCCATAATACACTAATCCTCCAATTTTCATTTATTTCTGAAAATTGCAGCAAAACCAAATGTTGTACATTCCCTTTAACCAACCACCGACTATTCCCCTTTTCACGACACCCCTCCAGCTTGTTAACATTCCTTTCAAATGTTAAATGAAAAAGGAACAATATTATCCAGCAACAAACCTTTAGTCTGGTTTGATGGATGAGGTGCTCTGGCGCGTGTTCAAGAAAAAACTGCTTGGAGATGACCACACATTCCGCTCCATTACTTATCAGACTCACACTGGGTTGATCACTGAACATAAGCTCCGACAATCCCTGTCGATAAAAGCAATCTTCACATTGATTCTACTTCGGAAATAAAATTAGTTTCAGCATCAATATTGGATAAAAGTGTACAATGTCATGTTCTCATACACTGGAGTTAATTACTTCATGCATTGAATTCCAATGATATTATAATGGTATTTACGTACGAAAGCGCCTCCTTTGACCAGTATTCGGACACAGACAAATACAGGCGATGCATCTGAATCGTAGCTCGAAACTGGCTTAACCTGCATAGAGCGGGAAATTTTGAATGAAAAAAAAAAAAGTCATCACAGATTGAATATAATGATTCTTATCCCTTTCCTTTCGGTAAATAAATTGATAGAAAAATACAGAGAATATCATTTTCAATGCGTCTTTGCAGCGTTAAAGTTCACGAATGTCTATGGCATTGACGGATCGAAATAACTGGGTGTTGCTTGTGGCTAAGGGTTGTTAGGTGTGGCTGGGCGTGACTGGGCATGGCTGGGAGTTAGAACAATTGAGGGGAATAATGACAATTGGAAGGTCTTAGGGCAGGATAGAAGTTTAGGAAGCCTAGAAGGAAGCTTAGAAGGAAGCTTAGAAGGAAGCTTAGGCGGTTATATAGACAAGAGAGGGCAGCAACAAAGATTTACAGTTTTACGTACTAGATGGGCGTTCAGATCATCTGCAAATGTGCGACGAGGTCCGTAGAGCGCCCTCTGGTGTTCATCTTCTGCAAAGAATTGATAAGAAAAACAACCTTTCAATGCAAAAACAACTCGGCAATATCGATTGAATCTCCCTATTAAATAGGCACAAAATCCTGCAATAATAAAAGTTTATGGCATGTATTGGCTTTTCAAGTAGAAAGAAACTCCTTAATCCAAAAAAAATCCCTTACCTACATCATCTGTTGCATCTTTCTGAAATGATAAAAGGAAATCCATGAGAAACGAGCAAACACTCCGTTATGGTTATTGTGTTTTAAAGTGTGATTTGATTCATAAACAAAATATCACGTTTACGAAAGGCAAGACACTAATTTGTGGGATGACACTGAATAAAATATTTAATAAAAATTGTTCATTGAGATGTCTTATTCCCACTCAGTAACTGCTTGATTTGTAGATATCGTATTTTTTGGCACAATGCCATTTGATTATCTTTTTAGGAATGAAATATTTCTATCCCAATCGAGGGTGTGGAATCCAAATTAAAACAACACAAAACTAAGATATCATACTGAGGTTGCACATTATCAAGGAACAGACATAAATTATCTGCACAAATTTGGTTTTCACTGTCTCTCTAACCTCTATTTCAAGTGCTGTCTCCGTCTCATCTTTGATGCTCCTCTTTTCATTTCTTCCTCTCAAATCTCCTCCATCTTCCGTTATTGATGCCTGCATGATTCTCCTTAACACTTTAGTCTCCATCTCAGTCGTCTCCACGTCCGCGTGGCCGTGCTCCCCGTCTGGTTGCCTCAGTAGCGGCAGGTCCAGCCCACGGTGAACCAGGGATGGTCTGGTCCTTTGTAGGAGGCGCACCTTCTTGCGAAGGAACGAGTTCTCCTTCCTGACGAGCCTAGCTTCGTGACGGGATGGTGTAACGTAATGGGCGCCATGCTCGCAGCTGCTCAGGACTGCACTCAGTTTTGCTTCTAGGTTCACATGACAGGAATATTATTTAGGAACATATTTTGTACGACTTTCTACTCCTGTTAAATGTATGAAAACTATTTGACATCCTCTTTTGGTTAATTTTATTAAAACGTGCACCTCTATAGACATTTAAAATCTCCCATGTATTTTCTGACACCTGAGGGCGCTGTTGCTGTGACGTCATTTCAGGAGGGTACTGTTCAGTTTAGGGTTTTTCTGTTCAATGGGTAAACTCAAAAATTTGCGAGAAAAGTTTGCTCATGGGCTTACTTTTATGTACTGACCCAACAACAAATCACCACAGAAAAGACAACTTAAGACAGCAAAATATTGGTTCACAGCCCAATACCCTATAGGTTTATACACAAATTGCCTAATTGGTTTGTCATCCAAAGCGAAGGTGCATTGCGAATATCAAATATTTTTATTAAGTTTACCTGTCTTTGTTACATGCCTAGAGGAATTCTTATCGGCGTTGGCCTTGCTGAGTCTCATCACGACCGAACAACTTCCCTGTCAAAGTAAGTTTATATTATTTTAATCAGCAACGAAAACCTTGGAAAGAATTACTAAGGGAATACATATGTGCTTGGCCTGTTTTAAACAAGTAGGGGCCCCGGGGGGGGGGGCCCAAGCCGAAGGCGAGTGACATTATCCGCAACCAGGCCCCTAGCCGGTTTTAAACTTCCTTGTTTCAAATCGGCCAAGCTTATATTTATTCCCATTCACAAATACATTTTCGGTCAAACATTCAAAATATTCAAAAATTGACAAAGTTGCAACGATTTTGTTCAACAAATTTTTCTTCATGTTTTGTGAAACGCCCCTCTGGCCATGTCTATGGTATGAGCCTCGCGCGCGTAGACATGACCTTCTTGATCTAATGACTCGACTCGACTCGACTCGAGACACTTCTTCAAAATGACTCTACTCGACTCGAGTCATAAAAATCAGTGACTCGTTACAACTTTGCCAATAGGTATGGGTAAACTATCTCAGGTATTTCTGAATACTGCATGCAATAAATTCATCTGTCGCACCACAAAGTTACGCGTTGTGTTTAAAGGCTAAGCACCATCTGTCAGTGCGGCGCAAAGAAACTATTGTTCCGTTGTTGTGCGTGCTTCTTATCGCTTGCTTCTGGTTTTATTGTTATTGACCAAACCTGATTTTATAAACAAAATATGATGTAATGTCATAAACTTCTAGCTTGAACACAATATGGCGCATTCTATTTAATTAATCAGGGTGTCACTCTTCCTTTCTCTCCAAAAGAAGCAAAAGAAGAATTTGACCAACCGATTTCACTATGTAGATCCAGTCGGAATATTTGCTGTCCCTCACCAGAACTGTGTCTCTCCTGAAAACCAAATTAATGATAATAATTATTCAGATTCATTAATAAGATTAATCAAGAGTATCCCTGTTTTGTTTTGTAATAAAATAATTCCCATATTTCTTAAACATCAAGCTAAAATTGGATGAGAATTACAAGTGATTTTTTTTCCGGCTTAGTTTAGCAATCAGTTACCTATTTCAATACACAGGGAGAAATCATTATGGTCCTCTTATTTGAATCATGAAAATTACAAATCTTTACCAAAAGTCATAATCACAGTGAATATTGTTTACCTGAAGAAATTGAAGACGCATTGTTTTGGATGTAGATCCAACATTTGTATCGGCCACCCTTTCAAGAAATCAATGCTTCTGCGTGGAGAGAATATAATTACGGGTAAAGGGTATGCAGAAACAGCCCTCAAAATGATGGATAAAGTTTGTTTGTTTTGGGGTTATCTTCAAGTTGGAGGGGGGGGGGGGGGGAGAGAGAGAGAGATGTGGTCCAGCGGTAGAGCACAGGCCCCATGATCGTGGGATTGTGGGTTCGAGCCCCGCCATGGCCATGCGTGTTGTGCCCTTGAGTATGGTGCTTTACCTTAATTATACTCCTCTCAACCCAGGTGTTAAATGGGTACCGGCATTATTCAATGCTTGGAAGTAACAGACTCACTGTGGAGGAGGTGTGGCAATCCCCCCCCCCCCCCACAGCAGCAGCATTTACATTGAGTCTGGCTAAATCGCTTCGAAAGAGAGATGGGCACTCCGTTCCTGTGAACACAGGTTCATCCCCTTTACCTTTACCTTTTGATCTCGGAACACAATCAGAAGTTGATGGGAAATACCCAGCCTGGGTTCAGATGCAAGTTTTAGCTAAATTAGACTATTAGCGTTTTTGTACTTTTTGTACTTCTGATTAACATATAACGCTTCCGACAAATGAATGAGTTTTCTTTATGGTTTTGCCATACACGGTCAATAGAAAACACAGATTTTCAATACCACAAGTTGAATATTGGAAAGTTTTGCTCAAACGATTCTTTAAAATTGGTGTAACAACTAACAATATCGCCAGACATTCAGCTCAGCACCGAAAAAAAACCCCGGGGGATTCTGGCCAAGCCGTGGGTTAAACCACTCATGCCATCTTACAATTGTTAGATACAATTATCGCTGGTCAGGAACAGTCTTCACATACTTTGGGAATCTTTCTGGACCTCTCCAAGGCATTCGACACAATCAATCACGACATCCTTTTGGCTAAACTTTCTTTTTATGGAATTAGAGGAATTGCCTTGGAGTGGTTCAGGAATTATCTCACTAACCGTAAACAATTTGTTTATTTTAATGACAATCAGTCTTCTACTAAAGATCTACTATGTGGAGTTCCACAAGGATCTCTATTAGGACCTTTGCTTTTTTCTATTTACATAAATGATTTTGATAAATCCTCTAGGATGCTGTCATTTATTTTATTCGCAGATGATTCCAACTTATTTTATACTCATGGTAATCTGACCACACTTGTTAATACGGTTAATTTAGAGCTCATTTCTGTTTCTAAATGGATCAAAGCCAACAAATTATCTCTCAACATTGATAAGACTTGTTTTATGTTATTTAGTAACACAGTTGATTCGATTCCTACTGACATATTATTTGATAATTTAACAATCAATCAAACAAATTGTATTAAATTTCTTGGTCTATTTATTGATGACAAATTGTCTTGGAATTATCATGTAAATCATATTTGTAAATTAATTTCCAGAAATGTAGGTATTATTAGCAAATTGAAATATTTTTTTCCGCCCAAATTCTAAATAGCATCTACAACGCTTTGATTTTGCCGTATATCTCCTATGGTATTCTTGCTTGGGGCAACACAAGTAGTTGTCTTTTAAACAGAATTCTTGTTCTACAGAAAAAAAGCATTGCGAATTATAGACCGTGTAGACTTCAGGGCTCATTCTGATCCTTTATTCTTTAATCACAATACCCTTAAAGTCACTGACATTTATTTTCTCCAGCTTGGAATGTTTATGCATCAGCTCGTTGCCCAAGATTTACCTAATTCTTTTGAACGAATGTTTAAGACTAATACCGTTATTCATCGTCATCATACCAGACAGTCTAGGGATTTCCATATCCCATACATACGTACTGCTAAAGCTAAAAAGTTCATTCATTATCAGGGCCCCAAATTCTGGAACTCATTAAATCAAACTCTTAGAATTGTCAACAGTAGGCCTTTATTTAAGAAGAAGCTAAAGTCTCTGCTTATGGAAAGTTACAATAATGCTTAATGCTTAATTTTAGTTTTACTTATTATTTGCTGTGAACATATTCTTCTAATAATTTCCCATGTAGGTTCTGATTGTACTTGATTTGTTTTGTCTTGTCCTGTTTGTGTTGGTCCCTTGTATATGTGTGTTTGTGTAACTTAAACTTCATTGTGTAGTTAAGTTAAAGGTACAAATGTATTTAATATATATTTTTTCTACACATAATGGACTTCTCCACTTGACAAGCTTGCTTTTTGGAGAAGCCCACCGCTTAATCTTATCCTGTTATCTAAATTATTGTTTAAACCGTTTCCCTTCAAAATGATTAAGTGGAAATAAATATGAATGAATGAATGAATGAAAACTGGGGTCTACCCGATGTTCCCCAATACCTATGTTCCCAAATACCTATGCTCCCCAAATCCTTAGGGTTAGGGTTAGGGTTAGGGTTGGGGAAGATAGGTATTTGGGAACATATGTATGCAGACGGTTAAACTTGCCTATATCTAAATCGAAGAAGTTATATTGTAAATAATGTTGTCTTTCTTACCTTTGAAGACTAATCTATGATAATGTTACCTTATGAAGGCTAAATGGTCCGGGTCGGTAAGTCTTTTCACTCCTCCTGACATAAAGATCTTCATAAAATCCTGTGTGAAAAGATGACACGAACTCTGTATTTATTTAGTCACAATTTTATCGTACCCAAGGACACGTCACAGATGAAACGCTTTAAAAAAAGGTGTGAGATTCGAGTATGTAAACAGCCTTAGAACCACTCGACTACCGAGCGTGATGTCTTGGCCTTTTGAAAGGTTGAACTGACAAGCCGCTTTCGATCTACATAAAATAATAGGACGACGAACGCCCTTCTTAGTTTTCCAAGTGGCGCTTCACAGTATAATGACGATTTGTAGTTCAAAACAACCTTTGCATATTTGTATCCCTTTCGTGTATATTGCCTAGGCTTACAGTTTAGCTAGGCTTAGATACGAAACGGATATGAAACAGGCTGAAAACGTGCTTATGTAATTACCAAGCACGCATTTCACCATGAAAAATAACGATGGAAGATATCGTCTCCTGCCGGGTCACCGATTTCAGGCTCCAGTTTTCACGAGTTTTCCCATACACTTGTAGGGTAGGTGTTCCGGCTCGAACAGGTATATTTTTGCCGAAATAATCCGCAGTACACTAGCAGATTCTGGCTTGCTAATTGCGTTTTATTTTACAAGATTAAGCACTCCAGTTTTACCTGAGCTGAAATGACGAGAAGTTGTAGATCTTCGCGGGCTGTGACGGTAGAAGTTCGTTTGCCATCATTTAATATCGCCAACTCCTAAGATAACACCACAGTTGAGATACCCTTGTCATTTTGTCTAAGCTATATAGTAAACTATACCTAATTGTAAATACTAGATGTGGATATGGTTCCTGATATTCTCATCTTATAATCTATTTGGGAATTTGGCGTTTTTAAAGCCTGTAATTGGGCAAATTACGTTTGAGCATGACATTGCTACAGCACCAGTATTTATACCTAAATTTATCGCGAAGGAATTTTTGAAAACTTACACCAAAGCTGTCTCCTCTTTTCAAGATGGCTACGGTGCGTTGTGTTAATCTGCCCGGTTCCATCACTGTTACCACGACTGCAATAAATAAAGATTGAGTATCATGTTTCATCCAATAAATTAATCTTATTGAGTTACTTATTACTAATCATCCTCTGCGAAAATTATCCGCAACTCGCAAGAGGGGGCGATCACCAAAAGAAACCCACTGCCACCTAATTAGCTTGTTGGAATAAGGGATAATCATTGTAGCCTACACTCTAGCAAAAGGCACAGAATGTAAAGATTGCAGACATGGGCTGAAAGCTTGTACCTGACATTTTTGCATGTTCAGTTCTCTCTATGTATACCCCTTATGCGTATAGCAGCCATCGTAGAGGGCAGTGCCTTTGTTTTGTTGGGTTATGCATGAGTGAATCTTTTGTATCTTCTTTGTTACTGAATTAAAATGACAAAAGATGCCCTCTAAGATGGTCGCTAGACATAAGGTCTATAGACGAATCCAGGCACGTGATCACCGCTCACACACGAGACTCCCTTCAATGGAGAAAGCACTGTGCAAGCTGTTGCGCAAAGCAACTTCCCTATGGACGGAAAATCTGAACAATAGCTAGCACAATGGTTTCGCCATTGAAGGGGGCCTTCGTGAAAGAAATGCCCGCGTGCCCAGATTGGTCTATAGGCAAAGTTCTTACCTTCGCAAGTTTCCATGCATACAACCGGAAAACGGATTTGACCCTTTCAGGACATGAGCATCATTATGTGACCCTGTATGAATTTGTGTTTATTTTCTCGGTCGATGGGCAAGAAAGTTGAGACCAATTTTCCGGAATGTCCTCGCCTGCCATGTCAACCAACTCACACTCGGTAGTAATTTGTTTTAAGTATTTTTTATTAATACATAATGTTTGTTTGTCAAAAGATTCTCCCCAATCCTCTCAAAATCACTTGAGAAACAAATCAAATATGGTATTCTAACCAATTGCTCATGAAGTCTAGGAATCCACAATGGCCGCCACCGACCGCGACGCACAAATCCATATCTAGTCATCAATCAATCGAAATCTTTAATTTTTACCAACATATACATGTACATATACAAATATATTGCTCCCCTTTTTACTACACCGGTACCTTTTTTCACACAAAGATTTAATGACTTCACCGCGGTGATCTCCAGTTTCGAATATATCTCATAAATGTATTATAACTCAAAAAAAAAATGTTCTTTATTTGGAAGCATTGAAATGGAAATCGATAAAAAAGTTTTTTTACCGACAAGCAAACATTTCTGCGAAATCAAGGGAACATTTGGCAAAAGAATACAAATATACGGTGCCGAGAAGACCCCCCCCCCCAAACCCCTGATCTGATAGGGTTAATCATAAAGTTTTCTTACTTGATAATGTGGTGCTTATAAAGTGCCTTATACCTAAGGTGTCAAAGCACTTTACAATTGTTATCTATGTTCATCAGGAGTGAGACCATTTTTCTGTAGTAACTCGAGATCAGCACAATTTGGACTGTACCTTCACAAGTACCCATTTAATACTCCTACGTACCTGAACCAGAATATATGAAGTAGAACGATCGTGGTTTATGTCCTTCCCTTACAATGACGCGGGTTGGTCCGTAGGCCTCACACCAACTCACCGCTGCCAGACTCTTCTGCATGCGTACAGGGTATGCTGCAATAGCTTTCAACGCACGGATTGCAATTTGCAACTGGGATAGAGGATTCCCCGCAACAAGTGTTTGGAAAAAGAACGGCAAAACATGAACATGCTTTGAAACTGTGCATGGTGGAATGGTACAGTAAAGTGGTAAAATTGCGATTGTACCGTGGATCCAATTTCTTCTGTGATGAAGGGTGGTTCTGACAAGAACCATTGGTTCGAAAAGAATTGTCAACACCGAAAACTTATCACTTTAATGGAAATTTCAGAAAGTTTAAAATATATATCAAGATATCTTTTTGCCTATCAAGTTAATATTAATAAAGGAGAAAACTGTTACAAAGATACAATTAATCGTAAAGAACAGACGAATCCGGGCACCTTAATGATCACTATACACTCACCAAGCCCCTTTAATTGCAAAGGCATTGTTCTAGCTATTGTACATAGAAACTGTTCCATGACAGTTATCCTGAACAACAGCTATAGCACAATGCTTTCGCCATTGAAGGGGGCCTCCGTGATATAAGTGGCAACGTGCCCAAATTGCTCTATAAATAATCAGTAATGCATGATTTCCACTTTCCGAACGGTGATTATAATGGTGAATTGATGCTAAATCACAATCAATGACATGGAGAATCTTATACTGTGCAGACCTATACTCACGTAATGTATATCTTGTGGAGTTCGTTCCTCGGGCGGGGTCTGAAGTATTCTCCTGGCCTCTTGAGAGAGCAGTTTCTAATGTAAAATAGGAGACTATGCTTATTACAGCCTCATCCCAGGTGAAGAGAACGCACAATGTTAAAAGCAAAGGTTGGATTGAACACCGAGCTGTATTGACTCGCACTTTTGATTGTAATATCAATTGGAAATAAAATGAATATGTGTAGGCCCTACGGTATCCTTGCACAACTTTGAAATCCAGGATCAGATTCCACCCTAATCAAGGTCATTTAATAATTATTTTTCTTAATCACCATCCAACAGCGCTGACATTTTACAATTATATTTTATTCAAATTTTCCAGCGGCAAATTCCAGTTCAATCCCAATTTACCTGTTTCTTTGCTTTGAATTGTGTGACGTCAAACATGACGTCAATGCTGTCACGTGACGAAGATACCTGGGCGAATGAAAGGTCAGCCGTGTCGCTGAATTAAAAACAAACAGAGGGAAAGAACACACGGTTTATCTTTTTTCTTCATATTATATCATGTCATTTTGCACTGATTTCTATTACCTGTGAAACTGAAAATGTAACAAGGCAAAGATATACCGTACTATGAACAGTTTTTTGTTGTTAATGAATCATCTTAGGATTGTTTTGTTCACGGTGAAACGAACTCATTCGAACAGACCTGGCTTCGATGTAGTGCATACGGCATATACGTCGGACCAAGATAGCAAGCCAAGCAACTCGACGGAACGTGTGGTAGAGTGCTTTCTGAAAAGAGAAGAAAGCACGTACGTTCTCATTCAAAGCCTCTATTTGCGTGTAGTCCTTATGGTTATAACGGTGTAACCTCCTAAGGTAAACAAAAACCCTTTTGGTTAGGCATACGGCATTTAAAATGATTGATCTTGGAGACGGTAATTGACATATTTATTAAGCAATGTACTCAGGTTAATGGCAACATCAGTTTTTGAAGTGATAATTCAATTTACCGACGACACGACTTCAGAAATTCGCACGATCACCTTCTAATAACTGAGTTATTTATCATTGTGTTAGTTAGAATTGAAACGGAAAAATCGAAGGTGGAGGAGGGGGTCAAAAGGACATTTAGTCCAATAAAAAGATTTCATAAATTCTGCCTCCGATCCTCGTTTGAAACTGAAAGCTATATATACAGACACAATATGCCCCCACACTTTCAGAAATGTTGCATTTAGTCCAATAAAAAAAGGATTTCATGAATTCTGCCTCCGTTCCTCGTTTGAAACTGAAAGCTATATATACAGACACAATATGCCCCCACACTTTCAGAAATATTGCCTATTTTAAACGAACCTTTCTGTCATTTCTCCACTTCCTAAAGTTTTGTCTTCTCAAGGCCATGTCGGCTGTCGTCATGCCGACGGCTGTTGCGTCTTTGGCAGGAGTTCTCAGTCCATCAGCACCTTCTTGCTCAAAACCGTTGGAGTTGCTCCTGATTTTACCCACTGCCGTCTGCCATTTGGTTTTAGCATTTTCGGTAGGGTTTCTGCTGTCGAGAGATGGTCTTTTGTCCTGGGATGGCGTAATTATGGATGATGATGATGACGTATCGAGCGGGTTGGGAAGTTGAAGGGAAGTTGCTAGATTTCTTCGTCTTCTCTTCCGCGCCTGATTGAGAAGACTGACCGTTGCCAACATACTTTGGTATCGTCGTTGCGGGTCGAGACAAGAGGGTACCGGTTCGCGAATGGATTCCATTGCGTTGCTTTATGTCAGTTGTGCTTTTTACCCGATAACTACAGTAGAGAATTGATGCCAACTTCAACGATTCGTTTATGAAGTTCAACTATCAGATGTGGTGTTGTCATTCACAGTTTGTAGCTGTTCGTCACAAAATTTCCTTCGCTAAAAATCCATTCCCATGCACTGTTACTTAGTGTATGTATCCGTAAATGTTTCTTCACTCGTAATGTGCTTTTATTTATTGTTTAGTTCCAAAGAAAGCTGATGAAAGGCAAACGGTTGTGGTATTTTATTCCAAGATAAGTCACAAATGCTAATAACAACGGAGATAATCTGTCAGTGGGCTGGCGTAACTTTGTGGATGTAGCCATTGATATCTGCCACTATAAGCGATAAGGGGGTTGTGCATGTTTACTTATTACCCCCAAATTATCGTTGCACAGAAATATACATGATCGAAGTCCAACTTTTATGACCGTTTGCAAGAAATGACCAGCTCATAAATATTTGGGGCGAAACAAGTTTTGACATCAATGGTCTCAACACAGTCTTTGTCTCCGGGAGTGCCTTGTAAATTTACAACCATGTCGTCACAATAATCGGAATTTAAATAGCAATTACATTTTATGGAAGAAACGCATGCCTTAAAGACATTAAAAAAAAACCAATTAAGCGATTAGCGTGTAAAGATTGATTGCTTTTAGCAGTCCTATTTTTGAAGTATGTTTTGTTATGTCAATTCATTAATGAGGGCATAAGAGGTCTACTCTGGGGTAACCTCTCTACATGTTTATCACTGTTGAACTAAAGCACGCATCTCAAAGATGGTTGCAGTGCAAACGGTCTACATGCCCTCCCGTTCTCAGCACTGCCACGCTACATCCTTTAACCCACATTGCCTCCATGTCCCAACATACTCCATCCAACGCACACAGCCGGTGACCTCTTGGATTGTGCACGCATGCAACCAACATTTTAAGAGAACTTGCTTTGATTACGTATTTACGTTGTCTGGGCTCATTAGGTCGGAACTCCAATTAATCGTTAAACATATTTCATTTCACGGTAATTGAACTGTGACCCGGGGTCTGGGGTCAACCTGGAATATACGGCTACAACAACTCCTTTCTTCATTTCAACCTCAATCTCAATAGCTTAATATCATTTTAGCAACGTAGGCGGGGCCGGCATTTAGGGGCCCCATTTTCTGGAGATGACACTCTGGAAAGGCCTCACAAAAGGCCTGAAACATAATGACGTCACACTTTGTTCAAATAAAAGTCTCCGGTTTCTGGCATGGAGCTTGCCCCAAAAGTGGTGCAGCGACGTGTTTTTTTTACCCAACTTTTTTTTTCTTCTAATGTCGGCTGATGTATGTTGCAGATGACGCTTCGATCCCCTTAAAACTCTCAAAAATATCCTTCAGATCAGAGTGGAGCTGGAGGTGACCTCAGTAAGGCCATAAGGCTTGAAAATTCTGCACCCGCGTATGATCTCGACCGACACGAACATTCTTAGGGAAATTTGGATAGTCAAGACAAAAATCAGAAAAACGGTAACGTCAGACTATGCAGCGACATCGAAATCGTGCATGAGCCGCCAGGCTGGTCATCAGTCTGCTCCCTTACATATTGCGCTAATTAAAAAACGTATAAAGGTTCCAGATACACGACCATCGCTCCCTCAGTCTGGCTTCCAAACTCACAATTACAAAATTACAACACCGTCTGCAAACGGTGCCCGACTAAATTTATTGCAAATTATATGGGAGCACAGCGAGGCCATATAAAGCTTATAGTCGATCGTAACCAGTGGCGTCACCAGACTTTTCAGTCTGGGGGGGCACAGGGGGGCACCAGCATTTGATGGGGGGGGGGCACTTAGGTGGATACGGATCGCCGTCCTGCGGGAGGGGTCTAAGGGGAGGGGGTGCCCCCCTCCCCTTTGGAAAATTTTCGCATACGGAGGATGGGCTAGATGCAAAATGGTGCCACATTTGATGCTAAATTCGATCTGAAGATATCTCCAGAAATTGCTATTTTCGAGGTAATGATTTTAACAACGCGCAGAATTTTTTTTTACCAACCCAAATCTCAGATGGGGGGGCACTCGGGGGGGCACTAGGTTTTCCAGGGGGGGCACGTGCCCCCCCTGGCCCCCCCTTGGCGACGCCACTGATCGTAACCCCATCTGAAAACACGTTAAAATAGTGCAGCAGCAGGATTCTAATCAAACCAGTGAATTTAAAGGTTTTGAGACATCATCTTACAATAAAAAAAAACTTTTTAATTTTGCCGAGGCGCATGGATACGGCGACGCGCGCGCAGACCAGAAACCGGAGACTTTTTGGCCTTGTGGGAGCCAAGTGGGGATGAAAGCTAACATTAAAGGGAATATACATCATTTGCTTTTGCTGTAATTTTCAGAAATGGATGGAATTGGGGGGTTGGAAATATATAGCAAATATAGTTACACTGACTTTTTTGAGGTTTTGGGTTCGAAAATGCAATAAAAACCAAGAAAAACAATCATTTTCCTGTAGTCTGGTTCCCTGACTCCATTTAAGAAGAAACAGAGCAGTTTACATACATTGGGGAATTGTAAGGTCAGGGAACCAGTCTAGCTGGCTTGTACCCGTTCATAGGTGTGCAATCGATTGCAAACAAGTGCGATGGTCAACTGGGGCCAGTATTTGAAAAAAAAGCCAGTTTTTCCAACGCTGATCGGCCGATCAGCGTTGGAAATTGATACAAAAATACCACTTTTCTTGAAAATGACAGTATACCAGGTGCCATGATTTTACAGGATGCTTTACACTGTCATTCACTAACAGTTCAGCAAGGTATTTCAAAATGATTTGGTAGTTTTATTTTTTTATGTTTGCAAATGTTGTATTTTCCCTTTAAGCTCCCAACAAGTGTGACATCGTTATGTCTCAGGTCTATGATAGGCTCGTTATTGACTTCCCCCAAATTCTGAGCGGATGGATGGGTGTGGGTGTAAATGACTCTATTTCTTTTCAGAGGTGAGTCACGATTTGATGTCACCGTTGCACGTAATTGCTGTAAATGACTTGACTCCACTGAAACGGTTAAACCTCGATTCGAGTTTTCTGCCCTAAAGAATCGATTCAGGGGCGTCATTTGAAAGGGCCAGGGGTTGTAGGTGTATGGTGCCCTCTTTCGTTCCTTGCAGCAAAAGAGACCGCCACCTAGCGTCAGTGTCCCTCTACCCTAAATAGCGCCCCCTTGTGTCGCATGATGTCCTCCTCACCCCCTAGGCTGGTTCCCGGCCCCTCCATTGTCCTACGGACTTCAAATGTAAGGACCGGTAGCGGGCAATGAATCCTGGAGGAATTCCTTCAGGAGTATGTAAATTAGCCTAGGTCTGAATCCCGCCCCCTGGATACAAAATCACAACGACAGTTTAGGCGCGGAACCAGGCTAGTGAAAATGCCAACAAGGCTACCACCAATGCGCAGTTTGTGTGGTGATGAGTTTTGATTTTCTCTGAATTCGGAAGTGTGTCTGGCAACAGTATTTGAAAGCTATGCAGTTGAAATGCTTGAAAATTGCCTTCGTGGAGACACATGTTCAACTGTCCTGCGCACGCGCAGAGGTGATCCAATCAAAAGCTTTACCAGTCTACCTCATCCCCCTCTCCTCGCTTTCCGAATCTGTGATCTTTCGGCAATTTGAAGTCATCCACACACGCACAAGTAATGACTATGTCTGGTAACGCCAATGACCCTACTGGGAGTGTGTAACAGGCCTTCAAGACTTTGCTAATAGTGTCACATTTCTCCTGGTCACCGTAGGGGCCAGCCTATTGTCTTCTTTGCACCAGACTGACTAACTGACTGACTGACTTGTGAAAAAGACTTGCTGAAGTCAAAAAGAAAGTGACCAAGATTAAAAATCTTCTTATTAAAGCAATCAAATTTGATACATGATTGAAATCAAGAATGAAACATTATTTTTATTGCCAGATTTTGTGTTTTGAGTATGTGGAACAAGTCAACTTTTGTTCTGAAATATTGACGGCAATTTTTGTACGTTACATTTGCAAGTTCTCGTTTATTCATCGAGGTGGGAAAACGTCTATGTTTCATTGTACTCGATGATGGGTATTCATCAGATCGTAGAACCACGGTAAATGATCAGTGGTGGACAGCCGAGTTTAGTGATCTTTAATATTGAAATAGACAGATATTGGGAATAAACTATGCAAATTGCGTGAAATTTTCACGCTTAAAAGTCAATAAGATGTACTTTATTCCTATGTTTTTCTTACAAATGGAGCAATCAAAATATTTTAAAAATATTTGTCAAATTCGGTCACTTTTTATTTACCCACCCCGTATAACACTTCTTGATTGTCACTTGTGAATTAGACTGGTTACGTATTTACATCACGTTATAACTACAGCTTATTCAATGAACATTCTAGCAATTTCAGATAAATTGAATAGAATGTTGTGCGCTCTGGGACCAGCTTTACCAGGCTTGCCTTGTCTTGTTTAGAAATGAATAGTACACTTGGCGAGCGATTCCGGTATGCCGAGATTACTATACATACACTAAATGGAAATTTATTTTATTTTTTTATTTTATTTCTTTCTTACGAAAGCCCTGTAGTGCCATCAAGTATATATTTTGAAAAAAGTGAAGTATATTTTTTTCAAGTTCGTTTTTACGAGATATATTTTTTCCAAGTTCGTTTTTAAGAGATATATTTTTCCCAAAGTTCGTTTTTATGAGATATATTTTTTCCAAGTTCGTTTTTACGAGATATATTTTTTCCAAAGTTCGGAAAGCGCAGGGCTGCCTCCAGTCAGTACAGCAGGGCGACACAGGATATCTGAATATACAGCAAATTAAACTTTGCTTCATTCCCGCGTGCCTCAGGGGCCTGTACTGTGGGCTAGGCCTAGGATCGATCCAGAACTGGCATGTCCTCACAGAATTACAAGTGATGAACGCCAACGCGCACGTGACAATTTGCACACAAGAAAATCTCATAAAAACGAACTTGGAAAAAATATATGTCGTAAAAACGAACTTTGGAAAAAATATATCTCTTAAAAATGAACTTTGAAAAAATATATCTCGTAAAAACGAACTTGGAAAAAATATGCTTCACTTTTTCAAAATATATACTTGATTGCACTACAGGGCTTTCGTACTTTCTGGTAATGAAACCAAGGATTCCTCAAAAGTGCCCTAGGCACTGTAGCTCGCAAGAAACCTGTGGAGAGGAGACAATGAAAATGAATTACAGTTTTATTGGTGGGAGGAAAAGCCCAGAAGAATATTCTGGAGAAAACCCACGGAATCAGGTAGGGACTAAAAACCCAATCCACATATTGGCCTAGGTGGGATTCGAACCCGGGTCACAGCGGTGGAAGGCGAGGAAAGTACCGCTACGCCAACCTGACTCCCCATGACATGAACAAGCTCTCCTGCAAACGAGCAAGGAAGTTCATTCGTTTCCGCACAAGTTTATTTTGACATATTTAAGAGCTAAGCACAATTTCCAAATCACCAAAGAACCAAATACCAACATTTTAAAACCTTAATGAAACAATACAAATTACATGTATGTACAGCTTCCGTTCTATCAACATTACAAAACAAGAACAAAATCCACACAAATCTATGTAAACAAATACATTTTCCCTAGCTATGTAAACAAATACATTTTCCCACTGGTAATGTTTTGAAGTTTATTGTACATGTTACATCACTAAACAAGACAAATACACAAAAAGCTAAAACTTAAAACTGGCCCAACTATGTAAGCAAACATATTTATTCTACATGTTACACCACTTGTAATAACTATCTAGTTTCTGCACACTGAAGAGGATTGAATGCAAGTGATCTCTTCATAATAATGACAGCAGAAAGGCTGAGCAGGCCGTCCAATGTAAAGTGCTTGAAAATGACTGTTCTTCATTCATTCTAGCAATGCATGTTAAACCCTTTTACTGTCCAGACACCACAGCCTGTCTTTTTATAATAAAGAAACTAAATAAAGCTTCACTTATATGTAATTTCAGATCATACTGTAAAACAGTATAACAAAACTCATTTTTTGAATGGAGTTCTTCAAAATAACGTTATACGCAAAAATAAAATAAAACAGGTACACCTTTCTTAAGAACAAGGTGTTCTGTGAACGTCTTTTAAAAATCCATCAGTTTATTTCATAACCACTTTTGGAAAAACAGTGGTTATGGTTAAAGTTGACTGGTTCAATTAGTTCAAAACACATTCAAGGTTAAAAACACCTTTAAATCAAGCACAATCGGTATGCAAAAGAAGAATGAGCGATAAATATAACATGCAATGTAAGTTTTTTTTAAAGGTGGTTTTGCAAAGATAAAACTTCAAAACGAAAGACAGGCTGTTTTGAAACAAATGCTTTGTGATTGGTACTCGTTCTTGTTTAGATTATTACAAACATGTTCACGTCCATGTTGAACGTTGCAAGATCAAAGATCGCGGCCAACAGTGATCTCGAGTTAGGTCTGCATTCACTGAATGTTCGGCTTAATTTCCGACATTAAATATTTGACCTTTCAACATTAGGAGTCATTATAACGGGATACAATAGGACCAAAGTAGTCAACAATACCATTGAGAAGTTTGGCATCGCATTCATGCTTAAAAGTGAGTCATTATATGCATGCATGCAACAGCGCCTTCCAACAAATTAGACACAATATTGCGTCCTTGTGCGAAGCCACCGTATGGTTACTAGTTATGAGCAGTATTAAATGAATCACAACCTTATGTAAATAAAACGAACAGGGGTCCGCTCATAAGTCCGCGCCTCATAGGTCCGACGCCTCATAAGTCCGAAATTTCGGACTTAAGAGGCGTCGGACGTATGAGGCATACAATTGATTGATTCCGCCTCATAGCTCCAACGCCCCATAAGTCCGACGTCTCACAGCTCCTACGCCTCATAATTCAGAAACAGCGTTTGTCCATTGTCGGACTTATGAGGCGTCGGACCTATGAGACGGAATTTATGCCTAATAAGTTCGACGCATCATAAGACCGACATTTCGGACTTATGAAGCGTTGGACCTATGAGGAGTCGGACTTATGATATGGCCCCCAACGACCACACCACACTCCGTCGCTAAGGGAAGGCACTGTTGGGGAACCGCCAACGTGACATCGTCACGCGTTAATTTAAAGTGCTTAACTTTGAAGAAGGCACTTGTCGAGAACTACTAACATTACAGGTTACAACCACATTCAAATATGCAAGAGGTGTGACGATGTCCTGTGGTAGTTCTCAATGTTAAAGTGCATACCAAACGAAAGTCCAAAGGCCTAACATGTCTTGCAATAGTCCAGTGATATAATTACGTTTTGTTTCAATGTGCGCTTTCCTATGAGAGCCATGTATAGCGACGAGAATCACCAAGTTAACAAAACCGCACATGTAGAGAAAGCGTGACGTCATTATCTTTTAGGTCTATTGTTTTCGCAATGTGAGGACAGCCACTGCAGCTGTTTTTTGGTCCAGTCAATTGGAAAGTCTAATTCATAGATCTCCTCATGTTTTTTAAAAAGTTCTTGGACACGCATAATGTTTCCTAAAGCAGCTTGCCGTCTTAATACAATGAGCACATAATATTCATATCTGCCTTGTCGTCTTTGTTTTACTCTCGTAGTTTATATCCACCATTAATTAAAACCCGGATGCTGCATTTCTGCCCTTCATTTCGATGTAATTTGCAAGTCAATTGAACAAGGTCTACCTGACTTATCTTGCACGTACGCTTCGGTGGTAGACACGATCGCAGTTATAAACAACGCTTTTCAATTTGAGGGGACGAAGTAGACAAAACAGAGGAAACCTCAGACAGATTTGTATTTGTTTTGGTTGAAAATGCTAGGTATGTTTGCCTAGCAGTATTTCGTTTTACAGTGACAAATAAGAAATTCGAATTGCCGCCTTCTGAATTAACTGTCAACCAGAAACGGACTGCTGTTCGTTTGACAGGTTATGCTTTACACGAATACCGGTTGGATATCGGCATGGATTTAAATATATGCCAAATGAAGATAGTATATTTGTTATTGTTGTATTACATGCAAAATGAAATAAAGGAAGCGAGCGTAAATCGGAATTACTTGATGTTACAGATTATCGAGTTTTACCCATAACTGACGCAGTACGATACGTCACAGCACTTAGAAACTTAGTTTTGAAATTCGAATTGATATATTAATTAGTTAACAAAAAGATGGACCTGTCTGTTACATATTAAACGATTGTAAGTCTGTACAATTAAGTGGAAATAATCAATTTCAAATTCTTCAACAGTAACTGCGGTCTGATACCGTCAAGGACATTGTTTCTCTGCACACATTTCAAAAAATTGGTTGAATTTTCAATTGAACCATTTTGAACTTTCTCCTCCTTGCCGTTACTGGGCGCCCTTTGAGTCATGATGCTATAACTGTGGTCAATATTGAAATCCACGAGTCAGAATGTGTACCAAAGCAGTCCGTTTTGACTGTAACAAATTACTTTGTACATATTAAAGGGATTCATATCAAACAACGTTTGATGGTAACAGCACTCTATAGGCCTATTCCACATTTTCCGATATTAGGGAGCCAATTGCTGTGATGTCATCAAATTGGACATTATTTTGTCAAACAATGGATAACATGAGCATATAGTTTCAAAATGTTATCATACTCATACAAGAATCACTTTCAAAGAAATCAATGACATCAATCGAATTGGAAATTCCACGTCAATGGAATGAAAAAAAAGTTTATCTGAACTTAACAATCCATCTAACCTTAAACCGTCGTGAGGTTTAATATATAGAGAGAGTTTCATGTATAAATGCACTATTTCTCTTCTTAATACGAAATACAAATTGTGCGGCCAACCCCCCCCCCCAAAAAAAACCCCCAAAAAACAAAAAACAACCCCGAACATCCCTCCCCAAACGATTCGTTGGTTAGCACAAATTACAATTTTTTTTATAATATATTCTATGTTTATATACACTAAATATCTAAGAATTATTTACAGTACCGAGTCAAATACAAATCAAATAATATCATGGCAAACTACGAATCGCATTTAGAAAAAGAAGATAGTGATCATCCTATACCGATTCCAATTGAAAATCTAATGGAACCTTATATAACACTAACTATACCAATTTTAGATGTACACACAAACAAATAGAGGTACCATTTGTTTGGATAACCGAAAGCCGAAGCTCTTCTATAAAAACGAAAACTTAAGAAAGTTAATTGTATTTGAACCTTCCAAATGAAACTCTATGCTACGAATTGTATCTTAAGTAATTATCTCAAACTAGTTATGGCTTAAAAATGCTCTCCCTGTGCTATAGATTTTGTTTTTAAATCGCCATTTTTGTTCTAGCAATACAAAGTTATCCACTTTTGAATGAAACATTGAATGAAACAAATCCGCCCACTTTAGTTTATGAAATATTGATTTGCAGCTAGACAATAATTCAGGCGTATGTTTTTTGTTTTTTATTGGCACAAAGTAACCCAAAATAGAAGCGTATTCTCAGAGGGTGAAAAACGTCGAGTTAAATGAAACATACATATTGAAAATTCGTTAAGAGGAAAAAAATCGAATGTTAAATAGCACGGGTAGAGCAACTTTACCAAAACCATGACTGTAACATGAATGAAACAATTATAGTACAGCATTCACAGTTTGGTATCCTCCTCAACGGTTGAGGGTTTGGAACTAGCTGCACGCGTTGTAAAAGTGGGCTGTGACGGCGAGTGTTGTCCGGTGGAGTGATGACTTTTGCAACGAAAGGCCTGCACGAAAGCAATGCGATATTGCCTATTGACAGCGCCATAGATCAGCGGATTAATGAGCGTGTTGATGAATTGGGGAATATTGGCAATCCAGGCACTGATCCCCGGTAACCAGAGAGGATTACGAATACCAACCAATGAACAGATCCATCCAGATAAGCTGTAGATACGATATGGGGTCTGGCAAAGGAAGAAAACTACGCCGTTAACAACCAGCATTTTGGCCACTTGATTTCGGATCTTAATTGCGTTGGGGCCATTACTGACCAAGTTTTGACCGCTACGTTTGTTGAGCATGTGTACGATGCGCACATACATGTAACTGTTGGCCACCATTGCAATGAGCCAAGGAATATTCAGCACTGGTGGATTGTAGTAGCTTACCCATGGTGCTACCGAAGCACAGTATGCTCTGCTCGATGGGTAGTCTTGATAGGCGTCATCATCCGGCCACCGCAAACACTGCACATGAAGAATTGCCTGGCTCAACGATGTGAACACAGCAAACAGTAGCCCTACCAGCCAGCAGATGCCAATCATTCTATAGGTGCGTCTTCGTCCGCGAATGGCGAGATGTTTCATGGGATGGCACAGGGCGAGGTATCTCTCAAGTGAGACCACAGTCACAAGTGCAATGGATGCATAGTAGCCGGTATTGGTGAAAGTGAAATAGGAAATGCATTGGGCGGTACTCACGAAGGGGAAATGGTAGGCCACTGGGGAATCTACGTAACGCCACACTGAGTACGTAGATGTCAAATTCAAAAACAGAAGATCAGCAAGAGACAGGTGTGCCAAATATATGTTGGTATCTGATCTCAGTTTGGGAACGCGGACGATGACAAACAGAAAAGTCAGGTTAGTGATGATACCAAGGCTCCAGAGGATGGGTATGACGATAGTAGTAATAGAGGTATCCAAGGGAGTGTACAGCCACGCAGAAACTGCCCACTGGCTTATATTGACAGTATCTCGTTCGCTACACTCGCCTGATGTTATACCTGATCCCATGCTGGAATTTGCACGGCTACATTTACTAAACAAAATTCTAAATCTGAAATTTCAGCAAGTGCATGCACAGCTCTGCATGTGAATGAAGAGATACATCAATTCATGGTGTAAGTTAGGTCATTGTTCCGAGTTTCCACATAGTTTGGAAGTGATGCACAGGTTGGAGGTATGAGAAGGGAAGAAAATCGTTAGCTCGATTTTAAAGGACGCTAACACTTTCTCATGAAACGGTGTCTGGTTGGCTGAATACACTTGTCCATGGTAGGTGTCATCGAGTGAGAATCATTGTCAAGTGGGACATGCACAGCACTTTTTATGAAGCAAACTACATTACTATTCAACAATTCGATAACTTGCTGGTAGTAGGGACATCAGTATTAAACAGTCCTCGTCAGTGAATTAATGTTATGCAACAAAAAGCAAGGCAGAAAATCCACCCTCCCACCATATGGGCCTACTAGAAAACATTCATACATTAAGCGTATTTGTATAAAGTAGTCAATGTACTTTTAGTCAATTACTATGCAGAAACCGTTTTATGATTGCCATGAACCAACAAACATTTTCAACCAACTTTGTTTGTTGAGGTTAAAAATAATTTTCAGCTCTCAAACAGGCCAATTTCTGCACTTGAAATGTATTTCGCCCTAATTACACTTGCCCGATTGGAACTATGCTTAGCCAATACAGGCCAATCATAAGTTCGTCGGATTCCAATATGGGCTGGAAAGCATGGGAGATTCCTTAAACACATATGAAACTTATGCAGTAAGTTGTTATTGTAACCGTATGTATTTGACAAATAAGGTTTTCACACGAAAACTACAATTCACTTGGACCCCGATTTGTAACAACATATACCCCTTTTAAAACGACGGTGTCGTCATAGTTTATTTACATATAATGAATATTCATACTCTTTGAAACCGTGACATTTCTTCGTGAAGATGTTTCCAACAATTCCTTAATGAGCACGGCATTGTGTGGTATCGGGTCAAAGCATATTTGGATACGCGATGATCGGAAAGTGAAGGACATCACACAACTCTACATTAGAAATCCTAAACCGCTGAAAAAAATTCATCAGTGCTAACTTGCAGAAACAACAGGAGTCACACATTTCTTATTATTACCAATTCAAAATATGTACAGCTCAATTTCTTAAATAAAAACCCAGTATGAATCGTTTAAGGTGTTTTTAAGCCAATGGTGCTATGGTGATTGAACGATGTGTATATTTCAGGTCAATCCAGTCAGTGAGCAGTTTGCAGCAGCTTGATTATTTTTCATCAAACAGAACTTGCCAGAATGAGGTTGTTGTTTAAACTAAATGCACTGTTAAAATATTTATTGACCTAAGTAGGGCGCAGAAACTGTGACAGTCATAGATGAAAATGAGAGAGTATGGGCCACGCAGCTGCATCAACGTTCTGGGTTTGACAAATAGATCCATCAACGTTTTGGCAATGCAAGTAAAGTGTTGGTTTTGCAATTTCCTCAAAACCATGGATGTTTCTCTCAAATGGGTTTGGACAAGTACTGCACAATTTTTAAGAAGGGTTGTCGAAATTCTCGCAAAAAATTAGAGTCAGTGACGATTCTTGTCTTTAACGACAGCAGTACACCAAGTAAACAGGCCTGCTGACAACGTTTACCAAAATTAACAATTGTCTATGTATTTTAAAAGACATGGCGATGATCTCAACAATGTCCACGGACATTTTGTATGTACTGGGTGGATATTGTTCAGCAACTCAGGAGAGGATCCAGGAATTTGTGCAGGGGAGGGGCTTTTCATCATACAAATCAATGCTTAGGTAGACAGATTTTGCTCCGGACACTTGGCCTCCGTAAAATTAATGGGGGGGGGGGGGGGAGGGGGGCTCGTACCATACTTTCAATTTAAGCAATGTTCATATCCGACGATCATGAACGCTAGTGTAAAAAATACCTCCGTACCCCAGCAGGCTCTGTCCAAATGCTGTGCACAGGCGGACATTATTACCAGTATAATTCTCGTAATTGATTTTTGGGTGTCAGAGCCGGGGGGAAGGGGCTCACATTATTTGTTATAATTTTTTATGGGAAAAAATAAGCCAGAGCTGGGGGTGTTCCATTCCCGGATCCGCGACTGCAACTGCTGTCAGACTTACGGGCATGTGAACATATATTTACCACATGACATAATCCTCCGCATTCCTGTATTCTTTCTACTGAGAAAGGCGTCAAATCATATTTATATTCCGTTACTTACTAAAATATTTACAACAAATTGTTATTTCAAGTGATGGGAACCGAGTTTCTTCCATTACATTTATGCAGTAAATACACCTAATGTACAACATGAAGACTATCCTACAGCAGAATTTGCCAAAATTGTTCTCCTTAATTGAATTACAAGAACATGTAAAGGTTTATATATTTACAGGTCAATATGATAATTCCACCTTCCAACACAATTCGACCAACCGGTAATGTATGCCTAGATCTAATATCTCTTTTAATCACTCAGTTCTGGTTATACATACTATTTACATTCTCTTCAATTAAGCCCCTATATCGAGCTTCCCCTGATGACACAATGTAAGATACTTAAATTTTACTTTGTGGTTCACCCAAACAGTTCCCCCCAGTTGTCTGCATTGGTTTGGTGATGAAACGGGGCCTGATCATGGAACCTTGGAAACCATTATAAACCATATCCTAGATTTCTAGTTTTTACCGCCATATGTTTAATGAGGTAACGCACAACTCATGTGCTTCATTATTGTATTTGATCACCCTCTCTCCCCAAATGTCTTGAGTCTCTCTTCTCAACGGCTACCAGCATAATCCAACTCTCTGTCAAAGATATATGTCCGTTTTTTCCCAAATAAACATTGTAGATTATCATTGTACAGTGGTTATATTCTTCTTCAAAAGCACTCTGCATCATCGCCATTCTTACTATCTCCCCATAATGGACCTTGAATCGGTGGAAGGATGCCTGGTCAACATCCTCAACAAGACTACGTGACTTTACTCAAACTCCATCCTTCAGACCCACAGGCTGAGATATTCCTCTTGAGGCCTGGGTCCAACTCAATCGACTAAGAATTGGTTGGGGCCGTAGTGCCTCATTCCTCCACAGCATCGGAGCTACCAGCTGAATTCTGTGTCAGTGCGGCAAACCACAAACCATCAACCACATCATTCATGACTGCCCTGACTTCAGATCACCAAAAGGCGAGCAGGAACTCATACAGCCCTAGACGAGAAAACCGTCAAATGGCTTTAAGTAACCACATTACCAATGTAACTATGATGTTCACCCTGGTCCAGAAATCATACGAAAGCAGAAGATTTCTTTAGTCCGCTCCGGCTACGTGTATACACTTTGTATATCGGATCTATCTGGAACCGAAACCGCGACTCTAGCCCCGGCATCGTCTACTACCCCTTGAAATATCCAAGTGTTACAACTGGTGGCAGCAGCGGTTGGCCTGTGGTTGAAAATCGCAGCTGTGTACAGGGGTACACATATTTTGTACGCATTATTACATGTACAAGTTGACTTTTCAAAGGACCTCAGAAATCACAGTCTGGTGTCGATGTCGTCTACAGCTACAATCGTTGTGTTATTCTGTTCTGCTCCATTCACTGCACTGGTAGATGCATGTTGCCTTCTGGCTTGGCCAGTACACTTGAACGCCACTCTGATCGCAGAACGGTACGCCGGGTTCACGGCTCCGTAGATCAACGGATTAATCATTGCATTGATGTGCTGGGGAACAACGGATATCCATTTGGTTCCCGATCCTAATGCAGCCAAAAATGGATCAGGAATCTGAGCCAGAAGACAGATCCATCCAGACAGGCTGAAGATGCGATATGGGGCCTGGCATAAGAAGAACACAGTGCCGTTAGCGACCAACATTTTCGCCACTTGATTTCTGATATGAGTTGCATAATGATATTTCTTTACTGTAATCTTTTTGTTGGAGGTGCGTTTGTTGAGCATTTGTAAAATTCTTGCATACATGAAAACGTTAGCCACCATTGCCATAATCCAGGGAATATTCAGTAGGGGCGGAATGAAGTAGTCTACCCAAGGTGACACAGGACCACAGTATGCATAGCTGGATGGGTAGTCCACAAAGGCGTCAACATCGGGCCATTGGAGACAACGTACGTGGAGAACTAGAATACCCGGAGATGTTGAAGCGGAAAACAAAAAACCCATCAGCCAGCAGATTGCAATTATTCTATGGGTGCGTCTTCGTCCGCGGATTTCGAGATGTTTAATGGGGTGGCACAGGGCGAGGAATCTCTCGAACGATACCATGGTAACTAAAGCAATGGATGCAAAGTAGCCAGTATTTGCTACAGTGAAAAAGCTGAAACACTGGGCAGAATTCACAAAGGGATAGTGACGTGCCACGACGGATGCAGTGTATCTCCTTATGTTGTATGCTGACGCAAGACTCAAGTAAAGGAGATCAGCAAGTGACAAATGTGTCAAGTATATGTTGGTATCTGATCTCAGTTTGGGAACGCGGACAATGACGGATAGAAAAGTGAAGTTAGTGATGATACCAAGGCACCAGATGATGGGTAAGACGATGGTCGAAATAGAAACATCCAAGGCAGTACTGAGCCACGAAGAAACTGCCTCCTGACTGATATTGACAGTATCCTGTTCACTGCACTCAGCTGATGTTATACCTGCTCCCATGATGGCTATACGTACGTGTTGTTTATACAGGCACAGTTTGTTTTTAAAAGATCATCATTTAAAGTTCCTGGGACATGAACATCGTTACGACATTATTCCAGTACAGAGAGCTGCAGCCATTAAAAGAATCCCTTCTCTAAAAGAAGTTGTATGTTAAGCATGAAGGCTCGTTTTGTTGGAGTCAGTGAGTGAACTGATGAGAACTGAGCCTTCTCGCGCGTTTCTTTTTTTGTATACGTGTGTTGTTATTGTGCATAAATGGACTCTGTACGATATTAATGTACGACCTGCTTTTTCGGGGGAGGAACACAACACGACGTGATTGATTTGGGCTTTAAAAAAGCGCCTCGGTGGCTTGGAAAAAATAAACGAACTGCGTAATATAATTATCCAAAAAAGCTGTTCCTTCAAAGAGTGCACGTGTAGCTGAAAAAAATGGAATAAATCCTGCCCCACATACTGGCTTGGTCAAATTGAATTTTGTGATGAATTTGTGTACACTTCCAGTCACTCATCAAACGTTCAATATTTTGAAAGGCCCAGTGTGTTTGCTCTTCATTTCCAGTTCGGGTCTAAACTCACGTGCTTGTAAAAACACTCCTGACATGGTGTCATGCCGAATAGCCTGCAGCCGGATTATTCCCCGTCTTGCCGTGTTCTCTCTTTCCGGTCAAGTTGATGGTCATTGTGAAAGTGGTGGCGCTTTCCCTCTATTCGTTAGCAAATTGAAAATTATTTGAATGCATGCTCTATTTTTTTAGGGGGAGGGGGAGAGGGAGGGTAGTCGGAGTATGACCCGTTTTCCACGGAGCCAAGTATGACGTCTGATATGTTTAGACATGCAGAGATATGCAAGCCGCGCGCCAGCCAATCGGAGTCGCTTTTACTAGATCGTGACGTCATTTCATTCCTAAATCAGGACTAAATGGTTTGATTGGTCAATTCGAATGCAGTGTTTTGTAATACAACAACAGCCGGGCGCTTATCGCGTAACATGAAACAGAGTGCGTGAGACAGGTTTTTTTTAAATCCATTGTCTATGACGCGCAACGGGTGTATGACCAAAGACCCGATCTAGAAAGCGTCCGCCGAATGGTTAAAATCTAGAGGTCAAGAGGCGGTTGTCTTTTGCCTAATTAATCAGCGAATCTGCTCACATATCATAGACCATGCCATATGCCATGGTCCATTACATAGACTAGGGGTTGGGAGTTGGGGGGTGGCCGAAGGTACTCTGAAAGTTCTGTGTATGGGCGTGGTTGTTAATTTAACCTGCGCTATTTTGGGGTAACTCAGTCATTGAGCATAGAACGCATCTTGTGCTGGCCTTTTGATACTTTAACACTATGAGCAAGTCGTGGCTTATATTTACTTGACATAATTTAGGAACGTACATGTTTACATTTAGCTAATTGCAGGCACGATCGTCTTTCATATATTCTATCTTGGAAAGGTAAACGTAATCGTTTCATGTCAGCAAAAGCTCGTGTTTAATACGGATTGCTGTTCTTCTTCAGTGGTTGGTTAAAATGGAACTACAGTGTATGTGTCTATTAATGGACGTAAGTACATGCAATCAATTACTGCTCAGTAACCGTGGAAGCCAGACATCTGATCATTTTGTTTGGTCGTGGGAGAGTACAAGTATGATCGATCACTGACACACGAATTTGGCAGCCTGTACGTTATTAAACCAATTGGTGCTTTTGTTACGTTTCAAAAATCTCAACCCCCCCCCCAAGATTGTGCAAACATAAACCGTCTCACTTTTCTCTAAATTCTGGAACAAAGTTGAGGCAGTACTTTTCTGTATTACAAAAAACAGACATGATACATCAGATATTACCCTTTCGCCAAACATGTAGTAACGAAATTTGCCAATAGTTGACAAGTCTGATGAAAGATTCGTTTAATTTAAAGATACATGTAGTTGGTAACATTTGCAATATTATAATGGACCGAGTTTAGGACTACTAGTAATTATTAGCAGATATCGGCCTACTAGCCTGTTCAATTTTTGTGTCTTTGGTGCTGGAAAAACACGCAGAAGTGCAGCTCGCTCGCTGAATCTGTCATGCACAAAACCCATTGGTTACAGGGCAAGCATGAGAGCTTGCCGGCTGTGACGTGCAAAAAAATCACATAATGTACCTAACCTAAAACCGAACGTACGCAAGGAGAGCGTTCGATTACTATACTTCCCTCAGCTTACTCGCGCCTGGCTCCTCGCTTGAGAACAGACATGCGCAGTGGAACTAAATAAACGAACGGTTTCGGGTAAGGTTTCGTGCAAGAGCTGGAAACATGGGCGTCCTGTATTTCTCAACATATTCTCGATTTATCAGTTTTAGAGGGGGGCAGGGACATTTTGCCCCCATTAAATTTAAACCAATATGACTTCTCGCCTCTTTTTTTTCTCTCTTTTATTCTTCCTTTTTTTTTGCTTTTCCAGGCGCCACTTTTTTCTTCATATATCATCTCAATGAAGGGCCATTCATTGCAAAAATTACGATAAGACATGAATCTGGGACTGAGAAATATTTCCAATTTTGTGAGGAAATACTTAGAAAATTTTCTTGACTCTCCATAGACTTTGTACACAATCGCGGAAGTGGCGTCAGGTTGCAACATTTTTTTCCCGGGCTAGGCCGCATCCAAATCAATTAACTGTCTATTGAGCACGTCCACGCCCATTGAAAAAAACGCGGGGACGCGCCAACAATAATTCGTAGCCGTAGCTCCGTGCATAGAGCTACATAGGGTCTGTAGCTCTATGCTCCGTGGAAGCCCGTTTCGGAAACGGCCTGAGGCGCCCGCCGGATGTTGCATGGCCTTATGGGATACTTACCCAAGTAACCGGCTCAGCGAGACGGCTACTTGGGCCAGGCTCGAGTAAGCGCGAGAAGTCACGTGAGAGGTAAATCGAACGCTGTCACGCTTGCACGAGTAAGCGCGGGGGAAGTAATCGAACGCATTAAAGAAGTCAATAGTCGGCAAGCGCCGCTGAACGGATGTTATTCAATGAAAAAAACAACATACGGGTGATCGTTGGAAGTGTTATTCTTTTTTCTAAAAAGAATCACAGCCTGCCAGGCGCTGTGATTTAACCCTAAAAGGGCCGGGGGCGGAATCCCTCAACTTTTTCCGCGTTAACCTTGAAAAAAATTTGTCCGCGACCCGAGCTGTTATGACTTTTTAGCCTCGAGCCTTGCGCATATTTTGATACCAAAAACATAAAAATCGAAAAAAAATGTCCGGCGCTACGCGCCGTGAAAACTGAATTTTCCCGTTTACGTCGTATACACAGAGCAGAATTGCCATTCGTACATACGAATAATTAATTAGCCATAATTCCAAACCGTTTGGTCTTTAGTCATGAAATTTCTTGGGTATGTTTATGAAGAGTTGCTCTATGCATGTACCGAGTTTTCAAAAAATTTTGTCACTCGATGGCCCAGATCTAGGGCGGAATCCGCCCCCCCCCCGGCTGTGAGATGGTCAAAATAACCCGGCCCTTTTAGGGTTAACATGTGGTTTCGTACAGCAATTTGCTTTTAATTAAGTAGGCTATGTCACAGTAATCTGACAATTTCATTTCTCCAGCTCCCTATAGACATAAAGGGAACAATATTTTATCCACAGAGTGTTCGCTACCTTGTCCCACTTCGCGGCACTCCATTTACATGAGCAATTGCCGGTGAACAACTGGTGAACACAAACATATATAGTATTGTTTTATATTACCACTGTTTCATTACCAAGGACGACACGTACAGTTCCCTTCTGTTGTTTTTAACGGTCCCATAATGCTTTTACAGGAACCGAATTGAGCACAGGTCCTAGGGGTTATTGTTATAAGGTACCATGGTGATCCAAGTCTTCAGTAAAACGATAACTTGTACACCCAGGAATGCGGCGGTATAAGCGCAATCGACAAAAATCAATTAACAATGGTTGACTGCTGTGATGTGGCATATATGACGTTTTGAACACCCGAGGGGCGCATAGCACCCTAGGCGAAAATCCCACATCACAGCAGTCGACAATTGTTTTGTAATACCTCTGTCTTAGATTCCTTGGATTTTGATGTAAAACTAACAAAAACAAATGGCAGTAAACACAATAATCTTGACAAACTAACGGCAGCTCACGGGCATGTCGCGTGCTCGTCTGCTAGTTCGCTGCTCCCACTCATGTGTGAAAACATGGTGGAAATAGCTTGGGTAACAACGATACAAGCGTTTCACACCGTACGTGCTTCGTACGTACAAAGTCATAGCACAATCCCTGAGGGATATCCCACAGGGAGTATGCCGCGGCTTTTTATAAACTTAACACATAATCGTTCTCAATATAGATCAATTGCATTGAGAAGCCGTCTTTGAGGTCTGTTTCGTTCTGCAAATTCATTAACAGTAGATGCACAAGAGATCTACTCATGGTATTCCGGCCTGTTAAACAAAAGACACATCAAAGCAATCACTGTACATGTACATTGTTGTATAACATTGGTTTTTTGTCGATTGCGCTTATCATCAATATTGAAACTGATATCTGACACACACATGATGTGTAAATCCGCCCCGGGGTCGACCTGCGATTTGCTTGCGCAGCGACGGAACCATCGGCATGAAGCACAAAGGTCGTGCCCAGGTCACAAAACTGAGAAATCATGCGATTATCGCGAAACAAGCGGCAATTCTCCACATAATAATCGCAGCCAAGACGTGATTCTTCAAAATGGCATTGAGGGTGTTGATAACAATCAAATGGTCTTCCACGGCCACGTCTGTTCAATATGTAGCAGTCGGCACGCGGCAAATGTGTAGTTTTATAGCAATCAAGGCGGCCGAATGAACAGACGTGGCCGTGAAAGATCGTTTGATTGATATCAACACGCGCACGACCATTTTGAAGACGTCACATGATAAGCCGCGGAATCGTCGTCGCGTCGTGGTTGACAGCATGGTTGCGATTATTATGTGCAGATATGCCGCTTG